CGGGGGGGGGGGGGGGGGGGGTCGTACTAATGTTTTGCATCATACATTAACGGTCACCGCAACACATAGTGCTTGTTTCTGGATAACAGACGCAGACCTGAATCAGCGCATGTACAAACCAACAACAACACGGCCAAATACCAGCGGTATATGCAAAACATCTCGGGTACGCGATGCCCGCACACGCCATCGTGCGATGATACGTTGTTCCTGCATGTGCTGGGGTGTACTCATGTAAAAGCATGCCGTACAGTAGTCGTTTGCCATTGGCCTCGCATCCCTACAGCGCCGGCACGGACCGATACGCCGGGTTCTCGCCGGCCCAGGCTACACGCTTCACAAGGATAAGCCAGAAGCTAATAGTGTCATCATCCTTGCGTTTGGGTGGGGGGGGGCGGGGCTCAGCTACGGTCGTGATTCCGATACAAGAGGGAGGGTACCTTACAAGACGGGGCTCCGAGATTAGAGGGTCGAAATCGCATGTCACGAATTCGCCGCTTTAGTAGAGTTGGGTACTCCCTTATTCCGTTATAAGAGGGGGCTCCGATATGAGAGGGTCGAGTGCCTTCGTCACACCACCCTATTATATCGGAGAACCTACCATGCATACTTCTCCCTTGGTCGCCCTTTTACCCTTACCCTTGCCTTTTACCCTTACCCTTGCCTTTTACCCTTACCCTTGCCTTTTACCCTTACCCTTGCCTTTTACCCTTACCCTTGCCTTTTACCCTTACCCTTGCCTTTTACCCTTACCCTTGCCCTTTTACCCTTACCCTTGCCCTTTTACCCTTACCCTTACCCTTACCCTTACCCTTGCCCTTTTACCCTTAACCTTACCCTTACCCTTACCCTTACCTCGTAGCTGGTGACGACGACGGGAAAGCACGACGATCTCGCCAACCTTGGCTTCATCACCGTCCGGCGCAGTTCACTCCTGCCACCCAAAGTAAAGGAACACCCGGCCAAAAAATGCACAACAAGACAAAACGAAAAGAAACGAAAATCCTGTTCAACAAATACGGTTGCGTGTTGCCATATGTTTTCTAGACGTCCACGAACTATGAGCACTGGACTTGCATTTTTTTTTTTCACATGTCGCTGACATGCTTGGAAGCACCAGACGGTGTCACGCACAGACGGGAGGGTGGCCGAGTGTGGGTGTTGGCACGGCCGTAGCAGCAAACCGCGACGACAAGAGACCAGTTCAATTGCCTCAACGTATCACTTCTCTGGGTGCTTCGACGACACAGGATCTACCCTCCTCATTATGTAGACACTGCTGTCAAAGCCTGATAACCCGTCACAGGGGGTCCCCCGACATCACCCGCGCATGAAAAAAAGGGTCCATCTTTGGCCATGCCCCTGGTACACGTGCAGCTTCTCATTGTCTTTACAGTGGATGCTAATGTGCCCTCAACGACACCAACAGTCGTGCTCATGGCGGACGTTACAGCAAAAAGGTGAGAACGGAGTAAAAGCGCGTGAAAACTAGCTGCGTGCAAGGAGAAGATCGCCGCGACCGGAAAACATAAACGAAAAACACGAACACACATACACACACAACCGCACCAAGACTCACGTCTTTTCATTGGTCAGCCGGTTGGCGCGGTCGATCCCAAAAAAAAAACAAACACACACACACACACGGACGGCTTTTCATTGGTCAGCCGGTTAGCGCGGTCGATGTAACTACTTAACAAAACACACACACACACACACAGGTGTTCGGCATGCTTCCGTGAAGGCATCATCGCTTATTATGTGCCGCGGAACACACCACACCCACCTGTGGTCCTTAGAGCCGTGGTACAAGATCACGTCCACAGCGGGAAGCCACTTCTGGAACTCCTTGACCCAGTTCGGGAGGGTGGCGAGAGGCGCCGTTACGAGGAACGGTCCGTTAACGCCTTTCGAGCGAAGGTGGGCGATCAAGGCTATCACCTGTTGATAGCACAGGCGCCGCAGATTGTACATGTGTTAAGGGAGGGGGGGACGTCACGCACAATAGTTCGTTGGTCGTGCGCACCACAACGGAATAAGACACAAAAAAAATCGAGCGCAAGAGAAGGGAGGCGTTAAAAACGAGAGGCACGAGAGCATCCTTCCGAATAGTGTGTCAAGGCCAAGGCCAGGCAGTCGGTGCATGGGGGGGGGCGAGCAGAGCAGCTACAGGCAAAGGCGGTGCCCTCACAGAACGGAGACGACTACGAGTGGAAAACACCGACAACCACACGACAAGTTTCTTGCCGTTTCAAACCAATGGTGATACAGCGGTAGTGGGCCCTATGTGGCCAGCATAAGAGGGGCGAAATCTCGTGGCATGGATCGAACAGCCAAATGGTTTCACAGGCCTGCAACAGGGGGGGGGGGAATCGGCCTGGCACATACCCGCCCCAAATTGAGCCCACAAATGCTGTACATAAACATCACAGCACCTAACGATAACCCGAGTCCAATCGGCCAATGCGGCAGTGGATACATAAGTACCGCGCCGCGGAACGCAGGATACCTACCGGCACAACTAATCCGACGCGGATTGGAATGGAATGGGACGGAATGCACTATTTCGCTGCCGGACGTACCGCACCGCGGAACGCAGGATCCCCACCGCCACAAATAATCCGACGCGGAATGTAATGGAACGGGATGAACTACCGCGACGCGGAACACAGGATACCTCCCGCCACACCCAATCCGACTCGGAATGGAATGGAACGGGACGGAATAGACGTCGTGTCGGCAGCAACTCGCCTGGATGGTCTTGCCCAGCCCCATCTCGTCCGCCAAGATCCCGCTCAGCCCGTTCTCGTAGAGGGTGACCAGCCACCGCAAACCTTCCAGCTGGTACGGCTTCAGGGTCCCTCCCACCAGGTTCGAAGGCTGTACAATACGCATGGAGCATATTGTAGAATGATGGGTACAACACCGGGTCAGTCGTCGTCGTCAGCAGCAGCAGCAGCAGCAGCAGCAGCAGCAGCAGCAGCAGAAGCAACACCACCATCACAACCAAGATTTTTTCCCCTTCCGTCCCGGCGCTGATTCACGACGGAGACAACGCTGAATCTCCAAACCAAAAAACGCGAAACACTGTTGACAACGAACAAACACCCACGCACCTGTCGGAATGAGCCGTCATCCTTCTCCCTAGCAGCGGCCTCTTCCTTCGCCTTCTTCATCTTGCTAGCCGCTGAACTGAAGGCGTTGCCGCCGGACGACTTGCCCTTTTTACCCCTGCACACCCCACCCAATCAACAGACAGGTGCCGACGTGCCGAACAAGAAACAGGGTGGTCAACTTGCGTTACACGAAAGAAGCGTGTGCACGGATACATACCAACACAAACCAACAACCAAAGATGCCCGATCAAGAAAAAGGTGGTCAACTTGCGATACACGATGGCACGTGTGCATGGACCCACACCCCAACACAACCAACAGCCACGCGCCCAAACAATAAACAGCGTGGTCATCTTGCGATACAACGATGAAATATGTGAGTACATAAATTGTGACCCCGGCTGATACCCCAAAACAATGGCATCGGGGGAGGCGGTGATGCCTTGAGGGGGGGGGTGTACTCATAGTCGTGCATGCCGTAGTCGTTTGACCATTGACCTCGCATCCCTACAAAGCCGGGACGGAGCACGCCGGGTTCTCACCGGACCAGGCTCTCACATCACCAAGCGCGAAGCGCCGTGAGGTATTTGGCGAGTCGCATGAAGGGTGAGCTGCATCCTGCTAAGGGTGTTCGGCATCTTGTGCTTACTTCCTTGCGTACGGATGACAGCTACGTATGACTTAATTTATTTTCTGGTGCTTTCACTTCCAGAGACAGTTGTGAGCACTGTGTAACTGCCTCGAGGAAGCTTGACCATTTTAACACAACGTGGTACGATCATCCCCCGTTGCGCGGAGTGAGGTTTCTCGACCCCGCACAACATGATCTACTCGACCACCATTATGGTTACCGCCAAAAAAAAAACCGAGGTAAAAAAAAAAAACGGTAACCTGGTTGCCGAGTTCACGGAGTGAATTGGCTTGTTTTACAACGTCGTTGCCAAGCGACGAAAACCCAACCCCGATGACAAACACCGGGAAGGGATGCCTTGAGGGGGGGGGGGTAGAAACAGCTGCTTAAGGGAGGGAGCGGGGACAAAAATAATACGGATATACAGCTGCACCCTTCGGGAACGGCGGCACCAGCGACAACTCCAACAACAACATTGACAGCCAGTAGCATCACCAATCGTCGTGGAGCGAAGGGTACTCGGCAGAAAAACCAATAAGTTCCATTCCGCGCGAGGCCAAAACACCACCATCATCAAGCCAAGCACGGAAACATGAACAGTCACCTCAGCCGCATCACCAGCATCACCACTACCAGCACCAGCATCAGCCCCAAGCAAAGAACGGAAACATGAAAACTCACTTCACCTCCACCACCACCACCATCACCGCACTATAGCGTGCACCCACACTGCTGTTCCATGTATTAACCCATCTTGATCATCCCATCCGTGCCAACCACTTTCACCCGGACAATACCGGGCACCGGTACTAATAGAGGGCCGCCGACTGTAACCCCCAACGCAGCAGCATCAGCCGAGGATAGGACACGACACGACAGGACAGGACAGGACAGGACAGGACAGGACGATGAAGAGACACATACCGAGAGGACGGCGAACGCTTCCCAGGAGACCTCTTCTTGCCGCCGCGCCCTCTCCCGCTACCGGCTCCGTCGTCCTCGTTTTCCTGCTTGGCAGCAGCGTCCTCGTTTTCCCCCTTCTCGTCTTCCTCTTTCGTGAGTGCGATTGGCCGACTCGCCTCTACGTCCATCTGCACACCAAAAGCAGAGCGAAATACAAGAAAGAAAAGGATATTGAAGATATTTTCGTGTGACATGGTCTCCGGGCGATTGGTCGCTTCTCTACGTCATTCTGCACACCAAGAAGAGAAACACGTAGATGTTGTCGTTATTTCGTTGTTACATGGTCATCGGTGCTATTGGTCGACTCGAAACTACATCCATCTGCACACCAAAAGCAGAGCAAAATACAACAAGTAGATACTGCTGTAGTTATTTTCTGTTGACACGGTCTTGGGGTGCGATTCATCGACTCGCTTCTACGTCCATCCGGACACCAACCAAAGAGAAAAACACACTGCGTCACGTTCTTGATACACAGAACTACATTGTTTTTTATCCTGATCAGCGCCTGTGGATGACAGGTATACAGCACGAGTCAGGGTTCACGCGGACATATTCAAAGAATATTCGAGTAGATATTGTTCTTGTGACATGGTAATAGTTTTCCTCACGAAGATCTAACACCGTCCAACTCGTGGAGTCCTCATGGTTCAACATGAACTTTCAACACCTGTTCGGGATCACAAGTTATTTGCAACGGTAGGATTCAACCGTTCCTTGGACGCGTTCCGAGAACTTCACGAGACCCCCGAGGTAAGAAGGAACGAAAGAACTTAAGAAAAGCCTTGCCCGAGACGGATCAGGCGGGCGCCAGACCAAAACAGGTGGTACAGGAAGACAAAGACAAATGGTTGGCCACAGGAAGAAGAAACAGAACGTTCTTCATACATACCGAAGCGCCAGGTAAAAGGCAAAGGTGCTCTCTGCCTCTCTTCGGCGTGCAAACCACCTGCTGCTCAATAACGCAGATCCCCAGCAACAAAAACTTGACACCCTGCAACACGCAATGATCGATGTGCCCCCTGACGTGACTGCTGCTGCAGACGACCTCACCTGCGACTGTCGAATGAACATCGAGTACTGCTCCGCCTTGCACAGGAGCGACGCCAGCTGCGCCTGCCTCGCACCCCCCCCGGAATTTTCGCTATTCTCCGCTACGCCCCCCCTCCCCGCCGGCGACGACGCTTCCTTTTCGGGGGCGGAACTCCCTTCCTTGCCGCCGCTCTTGCCATTGGTGGCGGTGGCAGTGTTTGACGGTCTCGCGGAGGCGTTGCTGTTCTCGTCGGTTACGCCGTCGGCGCGGACGAGGAGCATTCCCGCCTGCTTGCGGCGTTCTTCCTGTGATTAAAAAAAAAAAAGGGACGAAAACAATGCAGATGGCGGGGTGGTCGGGAAGAGCAGTTTCGTGGATCATTTGGTTTCCGGCACACCCTCGGAGTATTCGCACTTTACAACTCGATCCAGGGGGCGCCGCTGCGAAACCAACGGTACCCCCGCACCAACAGCAGCGCCACAGAAGAAGATTCTCCTTGGCCACCATACACGCGCACTCGCTCACACCAGCTGATGACGACGGAGCGAGCGGCTGAACCCGCCTTCGTTCTTGGCTGACGGTTTTTCTTCTTCTGCTGACGCACCCTTGAACAAAAACGCAGGTTTCCCTTGCTTCGTCAGTCAAATCTTTCGCATGATTGCGCCGCAGTAGGGGCGCACGGGCTGTGTCTCTCTCACCTCGGTCAGCGTCTCGTCCTGCTGGACCTGGTTGGCGGCCATCTGCAGCAGCGCGGGCACCTTTTTCTCTCCCTTCCCGTCGTCACCACCACCAGCCCCCCCCTCCTCAACCTCGGTGTTGGCCGCCTCGAGCTCTTGCCACTCCTGCATGAACGATCGGGGAGAGACCGGGAGGCGGGGGGGTGTACTGATGTAAACGCATGCCGTAGTCGTTAGACCATCACCATTTGACCGAGGCGCGCTCGCGGGGGGTGGTACGCACTTGCGAGAATCCTAGGGCGCTTGCTGACGTCATATCTCGTATTCTTACCCTTCGGACAAGAATGGAATTTGTTGCGTTTTTTTTGGTACTCTTAATTATGTTTTTCATGCCTTAGGGATTAGACCATTGACCACGCGTCCTCGAGAGGACGGAGCACTGCTGCTCGATTTTTTTTTTTTGGGGGGGGGTGATAAAAACTAACCAGCTGTTCATTCCCACCTTTTCCGCTTCCTTCTGCGCATCCTCGAGCCTCTTCCCCTCCATCACGTCCGCGGCCTGGGCCAGCTCCGACACCGTCTGGGGTGACGCAGACTTTGCCTTGGGGGCACCCTGCACAATGATCCAAACACGTGAATGGTTATTAAGATTCGCACGCGTCAGTTCAACAAAAAAGCAGAAAGTGGATGAACCGACACAAGGCCGGCCGTAGCTTGAAAGCTTGGACGAAGACGCAGACTTTGCCTTGGGGGGTGTAAGCCTGCACCATGATCCAAAGAAACGTGAAAGATAACACGAGGGTTCATGCGCGTCAGCAACACCGGCAGCAACAAAAAAGAGTGAAGGGACCGACACAAGTCTTGCGGTAGCTGTACGCCCCGCATGAAATGTAATGGCTCAGTTTTCATCTTGATAACTGCTGAACCACATGTCTAGTTTCATCGAATAGCTTTGCTCCCTGCGACATAGTCGGGGTGAATATACTACCGGTGCGCTCTTCTTCCTGAAAGAAATGTATCGCCGCTTTTGTTCATATGGGCTACTACAAATACTGCTGTAGAAGCTGATTTCGTGCAGGCGCACCGAGAATTTTGGTCTCTGCCTCCTTGGGAGCTGGGAGCGTCGCGGACACCATCAGATGGGAGGTTCCCTATCGCAGCCGACTACAGATTGATACAATAGTTTCGCACGGCAACACGTATTTGGAGTGGGGGAGGCAAAGCACGCAGGTCATTTTCGCGTTTATGTCGGTCAAATTTTAATTTAATTAATCCGGCATGTATCGCACGGTTCGTGTACGTAGTGATGGAAGGGCGAACGACACGAACAAGAAATTTCTGCGATGCATGAGAAAAGAAGGCCATTCGGGACAAAATCAGTAAAACAAAAAAGAGTTGTCGAAAACGAGACTACTGCTGCTGTTGTTGCCAACCGAGTGGCGTTTTTTTCCGTCTATACTGAAAACACAGCAGCCGCATGCACGTGCGTGGGCCCACTGCTGCGCAGCTGTGCAGTCCAATCACTGGTCCATGAAGACACAGTGGGTGCGTGTAACTGCTAGTGCTTTGACCTCGATATTGCGGTTAGAGAGTCACAGGAGTAGTCCCGACAAAATCCAAGCGAGAGATGAGCGAGGCTGCAAGGAGGGGAGCGACGAATTCCGGGTTGCTAAGCGGCCGCTACAAAACGCGCGCTCTTTGACGATAGAAAGGAACCGCACGTTCGCCAAAGGTCTCTCTGGCGCGCCATCAAGTGTAACATTACCGCCGTATTGGGTACATGACACCGAGTTTGCCTTTGGTCTTAAGTTGCACACACTTGCTGTACCGCAGTTCAAGTACACACGCCTGCTGTGGATCATGGACACGTCAGACTTGTCGTAGGCTCGCTGCAGTGATGAGCAAGAAGATCCGCACAAATCAAAATATGGAGGCCACACAGCAATGACGACGATACATACAGGCCACAACCGTACTCTGCACATCATCTGGCTCTCTGTCTCTCTCTATGAGGGTGGCCACGACACGCCGAGCTCAATCGTGAGGTTGTCTTGTCCTTTTGGACACTGATGGTTGGATTGTCGTCGACACCTGGAGAGCGATTCGCTGTCCTTTGCCGCCGAAGAAGATTTCACGTGCTGCAGCCAGCCTCGCTGCCACCGGTAGCATGTTTCATCGAGTTTCTCCGCCGGTAGACTAAGACGGCGGAGCGAGGCTCTCCAGCAAGGTCTCTCCCGTGTGCACACCTACGACTATTTACTGCTGTACTGTAGGTGTCGCGAGGGAGAGAGGCGTGGGCCGGTCGACCGAGGTCGCATGCAGCAGGATTTCAAAACACACAAAATATCGATGCTCTCTCTCTCCGGAGGACGTTCGTTTTCTTGGGATCAGTCAGCCGAACCATGGCAGGAAACAGCTTACCTCAGGCTTGGCCTTGCCAGGACTCTTGCGTCTGCCCTGTGCTTTCGCCGTGATCACCATTCTCCAAACACACGCCGACCGCACGGAACACAAATTTGGATGGGAGCGCGCGCCTAAAGCTCTCTGAATCGCCCGCACAGACACAGGCCCGTTTCCTTCAGGTAAGGGGAAAGCTGAGTCCAAAAGCAGCGGCTTGTCGAGCTGCAAGAGAGATCAATCGACCAAAAAAGCCAGTAGACCAGCCACCTCGCAAGAAGAAAAGCTGCTGTGCGCTGTGCACTGCTGCTCGCTGACGGTCGATGTGGTCGATGTACGGCGGTCGAACAGATTTTAAAAAAACCAAGCCAGGGTGTTCCACAACAAAACATTATTACACGGGGGTTGGTCGTCATGATCCCCCCCCATAGCGCACAGCGAAAAGGGGGAAAGGCCGCACACGCGTGAGAAAGGGATACACAGCGAAGATCGACTGGGAGGAATGATGTCTGCATGTGGGCGTCAGTGGCTTCTCGGCCTGATCTTGACGGTGGGGTCTTCCATCAAGCCGTCATCAGCTTGGGTCATCGGCCCAACGGCAGCACGGTCACATGTGACGCATCGACAGCAGAGAGCTACCGCAACGGGCAGGAGCAGTGGCAGCAGCATCACAACGATGCGAGCGACTCCTTCCCCCGGTGGCGATGACGATACTGCTGGCATTCCCGCGTCGATGTCACGCGGAGAATGGCTGCGAGTCGGTGCCAGCCTTGCAGCAATGGCGCCGGTGTTTGCCCTCGGCAAGGAAGACGCGTCGGCAGCAACATCATCAGGTATACGCACCTACGTACATACATATATCGCCGTCCGTGCACATGTAGTCTATGTACACAAGTGATACCGCCAGCAGCGAAAACGGGTGCTACGGCAGTACTCAGCCATGGACATTTTCTACAAATCGTTGCCTGTTGCTGTTTTCTCCTCGACCTTCTGTGTAAACTTCAAAGTCAGCCCGCCCAGCCAGGCAAGCCAAACGGAGTTTGAGCCCGTTCGCCTTCATACAGCAGTATCGAAGTTGTAGATGTGCATATTGTTGGCTAGAGTGAATGGGTGCGGGGTCGACCTTGTTTCCTTCGGTGGTCCCACGTTTCCCCCGTCTACACGCCCCGGACATAAGCAGAGTACCGATGAGTTCGTGTGGTTGCCTTCGAAGCGTGCGCTACGACAGCAGTAGTTTGTCTCCCGTCTCTTCAACGACCAAATGTGTACTGTGCGTGTTTTTCGTCAACGCCTTCCTGTCAGATGTGACCGTGCTTGGAGCTGGTGGGAAGACCGGACGGGAGTGCGTGGAGTACCTCGCCTCGAAAGGGACAGGCGAGTCGCACAGTTTGCTGATGTGCAATGACTCTCAATGCGAGCGATGCAGCGCTACGACCGTAGGTTGCATGATCCCTGATGAACCGAAGTTCAAACCTCTCTTGTTCCACGACGAAGAGGATGCCGAAATCAAATGAGGGTTTTTCGGAAAACTCTTAAGAAGACGGTTCCAACGCCGCCTTTTTTCCGACGCCGTACTTGTAGCTGCTGTGTTCCTTACGAGCTTTGAAAATCGGTCCAAGAGTTGTGTATCTCATGCAACCTACAGTATACAGGTGTAATCAATTTTTAGTTTTGTTCCGCAGATGGGAATGCTGCTCTTCTTATGATAAACGTTGTGAAGGTTGCGGTTTGTCGGTGAGCATCCGTAGCTGTTATCCACCTGAGGAGCTTTGTATGGTACGGAAAATAGGATGCAGTCCTATATGGCGGAAGTGTTATCGACCCAAACCCGCCGCCTTTACCAACATCCAGAATTTTGACTGTATCATTGGTTATGATGTGTACAATTGGTGTATACAGGGGTGAGGGCGGTGGCGAGGAGCTTAACTAACAAAGAAGGGGAGCCATTAGCCTTTACGACAACCAAGGGGATTACGATGGAGACGGCGGACGTCACTGTGCCCAGCTCGCTGCCCGGGGTCATCAAAGGGTGAGCTAAAACGGCACAACCGGGGCTCAAATTGCGAGTAACCATCGTGCCCACGACACGCAACAAAAACTGATAACAGCGGATGCATTGCTTGATCCTGCAGTTATCGATGGAGAGTTCACACTTACTTTCAGTATGTGCTTGAGGTCATGGGTGTACTTTTAGATGATTGTGTCAAGTAGGGTTCGATAGCGATCGTTCACAGGGCACTTTAACAGAAAAATGGTCGTCTCACTGCTTGTTGTCAGAAAGCTTTTATGTGGTTGTGTTGGAGTGTTTACTTGCAGATGGAAATACATTGTTCTGCATCTTTTCCAGAGTCATGCATGTTGCTTGGAAGTCAGATTTTTTCCTGTTGCGTCTGACGTGTTGTGTGCCCCCTCCCCCCCCCCCCCGTCACAACAGGGCGTCCGCTGTGATCTTCGCTTCCTCGGCTAGCAAACAGGGAGGGTCGGCGAAGGCAGTTGACTACGAAGGCAAGGTCTTCGCCGAGAATTCGCCGCACCGGTATCCCATAAAAAAAAACTACAAAATGCTACAGCCACTACTGGAGTACGCGATGGGGAAACAACAGTTTATCCATGTGCTCTTGCTGCTGTCAAACGCATTTGACAGGTGTTGTGAACGTCGCTAAGGCTTGCCTGGAAGCGAAGGTGCCGCGGCTGGTTGTGGTGTCTTCAGGTGGCGTGGCTACCCCGGAGTCGTCCATCTACAAGTTCCTCAACCTCTTCGGAGAGGTACATGTTTTTTTGTAGTCCCGCGCAACGGAAAATATTATCAGCAGTTTCGTACCAGGTTGTTTCAGAGAGGATGGCCTGTTTCTGCTTTGTCCTTCCATTGATTCCGAAAACGACCCCAGAAAGTGCTATTTAATTAAAACGTTGATCACATCGCAAATTTACCAAGGGTGGGTTGCGGTCCGTGAGCCTGTCTTCATGGTTATACTTATTTTTTCGTAACATCAAAGCGCGCGCAAGACCAATATGACGGCAGCAGTGTCGACTACTGTGCAGCGAGTACAGGTCAGCGTGCGCTGTCTAACCCTCCGTACCGCTGCACGTTATTGCGCTTCCACGACTCGGGCGTGTGAAACGTTTTTTCCGCACCGGACTGGGCCTCCACGTTCCACCTTCACCGCCGCGGAAACGAACCGTATATACAGATCATGTCGTGGAAGATACAGGGGGAGGATCAGGTACGCCTCTCTTGTGCATCGAGCATGCTGACTTGGAGCCTTTAGTCACCGTCGTAGCGCTGGTTGGGCCGGCATCTCTTACGTTTCACATGTGGCTGTCACACTTGGTTCCGTTTGGGCAGGGTCGCTTTCTGACCTTGAACCGATTGTTGCTGAAATCGGCGTTGTTCAAGTCCTGCATAGTGCTGTGTTGGAGCACGAATAGTTGCGACCTCCTAATCTCCGCTTGGTGAGAATCCTAACACGCACTGCCGTTTCATGCGATCTCCACCTGCCACGGGCAGCTGCGGTCTATGTACGCCGCGCAGGACGTATGCCACTACACGATCGTCAGGCCCGGCGGTGAGAGAACTCCGTCCTACCGTAGAGCCTCTCTGATTGGCCTATCACATTGCTACACTGTGATGGGATCGTCCTCGCTGTCTGTTTCTTCTGTGTCAGCCGAGCCAGATAGTTGTGTATATTCTCACCCCCTGCTATTCTGGCCGTGAGAGGGTGTCTGTGCGGTTAGTTGTTTAGATTGCATCTTCCTGTTGAGTGTTCTTCAGTGAAGTGAAGCTCGACCGCAGCCTCAACGCCTGTCGCTGCTGCTGCGTGTCGATCAACGCCTCAGGCCTTACGTTAGACCCTCCAAGGGGTGTCGGAGCCATCGAGCTCAACCAGGGGGACACTAAGAGTGGCCGCATCGCGCGGGCAGACGTGGCGCGCGTTTGCGTCGAGTCCATCTACAGGTGCTGTTTGATATCCGCCACTCTTGACTACATTTAGAGCTAAGAAGAACGGCAGAAATCGGCAGTCTTCCATGAACATCAACCTTTTTTTGTTTTCGTTGATTGACTCGCGGTCAGGCTGACTGCCAGGTACGTGTCGCGGCAAGTTCAAGGACAGAACCTGGCCGAAAATCTGGATCACCCGAGCAGTCCTATCGTTGATAAATTTCAGACTGATTGACACAGGCTGTTTAGAGTTGCTGATGTTGTGGACCGTCTGCGCTCGTGATGCAGTAGGGGTCTCGAGTCTTTGTAGCAGTTCTTGCAGTCGTGACCCCCATGTTGAGACTAAACTGTCCGAACCGCTTCGTCATTACGTCATATCGACTACCCAGCCGGAACGCGGAGGACTGCACCCTGGAGTGCTACTACAAGGTGAAGGAGTTGGTCCTACTTTTTACCTTAACGTCGTTTCTCTTCCAGTCCAGGGATGGCAAGCTTTCGAAACACTGCCCGTTCTTTCGCCATGGACGATGAACCGAAAATTACTTCGAAATGCCAATGCCACTTCGGTCCCTAACTCTGTTCTTGAAAACAGCGGGTGCATCCTGTGCGCGTGCGCAGATCGTTTTCGTCCATGGACCCTATGGATGGCTGTTCTAGGTGGTGGGGCGTGTAGGGTGCACTTGATTTTTCTTGCCTGACCCATCAGTTAGTCTCGTGAGGAAGTCAAGGCAGACTTGGCAAACCAGCTGACGCTTTCGTATGGGAGTCAAAAGGTGTACCTGCTAGACCAAGGATACCTAATCGCCTTCCGTATGCACCTGGATTTCATGAGTGCATCACGTTATATGCAGCTGCATGTAGTAGCCTGTCTCATCTGACGTGACACACAAGCTCCTGCACTCGCGGCAAAATATCGTATACTCCCCCGTGCACGTGGGTCGTGTTGAACACGCCGGACTGGTGTGTCACGCCCCCCCCCCTGCACTCTTTTGTTTCTCTCCGCGGTCCCCTTGCAGGACACTGCCAAACCGCTTGCGGCCGTGGGTGTTTCCAACATCCTGAAGCAGAAAACGTGAGTTTCGCCGTAATATGGGACAATAGTATTCATGGTACTGAGCAACCTCTGTTGCCAACGTTTGCCCTTGCCATGGTGTACCACAACACCTTTGTCATGTATCCACACCACGACAACGCTCTGCCCGCTTGGCGTCGTTCATGACAGGGACGACACCGCAAAGTCTTTCGGTACCGAGAGCACCGGCGACACGTGGGACGCCCTGTTTTCCGGGTTGAAGCACGACGCATAGGAACCCGGAAAAAGTACGTGCTGGGACGTGGGCAACGTTGGCTGGACATCCAGTTGGTTAACATCCAGAGCATGATTATTTCGTGACTCAAAGAACTTGTGTGCGACCTTAGAGGCTAGGCATAGAGATACCAGGACAGAACACGTTGGGCTTGGGCGGCGGAGAAAGGAAGAACGCTCGACGTGTCCATCAGTGCACCCCAGCATGTAAATTGAAGTGTTGAAATCCATCGCGGGACTGTTGCTGTGTTGCTGCAATGTATGGGACACCGGTTCCCAACCTATACTACAAGCTAGGGAGCATTCCGCGTGATGATTCTACGCACTCATACAACAACATCCACCGCTACAGCATGAAACGCAGCTCTTGTTAGGCTGCTAGATTCCTCGACTCTCTTGCACGTCGTGCATCACACTCCTTGACCACAGCAAGATGAGGCCGGAGCAAACAAATGGCAAGCCCCCGTACTCTTCTATGCCATATGGCGCGGCAGATATTCTGCAGTAAAACCATTTTTTCACCAAGAGCACATGCAGGGACATGCGAATCCTGGTCAACGTCCCCCAAAATCACAGAAAACCGTGGGAAACGCCAACGTCGGAATCCTTCTTAGACATTGCCTGACTCAAAACCAAATTCTTCACAAGCTGTGATCCTGAAGAACACTCCTGCACTACTTGCAGTTCGTCGGTTTACTGCCGCCGCCAACCCAGTGTCCCTCTGCGCTTCGTTCGAACTCCTACGCATGCACAAAGAAACAGACCAGACCATACTGCTAACGTCAACGCACACCTCTCGGAAAGTGCTACTAGAGCAGTAGAAATTCCGCACGTCCCCTACAAGACACCAAACTCCTGCACACGCGTGACCTCGTTGGACACTCCGAAACACCGCATGCATACGCACTGTCCTGGCTAACGCCCAGACGAGCGCGTAAATACTCTTGGTAAAAAAAAAACAGCCCGGGACGACAGTCCCCCGGGCGACAACGAATTCTCTTTTTTTCTATTGGAGGGATCACCCAGAGTCAAAAACTTTGCGGCACAGCATAAAGGCCGCACAACTCGGATTATCATACAATGCTTGTCGGCAAGAGCACAGTGGGCGTGCTTGTTGATGGTGAGGGGTTCAACATGAAAAGGGGCAAGGCAGCAAATGTTGCTACAATATGGACAGACGTCAGGCCACCAAAACCAAGACGCAACACCCCGGGGTGAAGTCAGAGATCGCCGGGTGATACACGAAAAAATGTCCCTGCTGCGTTGTTATGACCGGAAGCGTTGCGGTACGTGACGGCGTGCTTTGCGTACATAAAGCAGTCTACCGGTGCCCTCTCGGGACGTCGCAATGTTTTTCGGGGGGGCGTTCTCGACCCCGAGGGAGGTACGGACCTGAAAACAGCCGGTGGGTCAGCCTCCTCGATTTCACGCGTCGTACATGCCACAGACTATAATAAGAATCAAGGGTATGCGGAAGAAATCCGCCCGCTACAACACATGTGTCATGTACGAGGTGCCAGAGGGAACGAGCGCTGCATCAGAATTTCGGTTCGAAGGCCCTCAGTCATCGTACAAGGGCATCGCCTCATCTTGTGCAGAATGGCGTGCTCTCTCGTTGGCGTGCTGCTGCCGGACCAATTTCTTCGAGTGGGGATCGACTTGAGCAAGGTCCCTCCTTTGTTCGCCGAATCTGCGGTCTTCCTTCTCCTCACTGTCCTCTTAGTGCCCGTTCTCACCGACTGTCTTTCCGCGCAGCGTGTTGGATACCTCGGTGCGAGTCTGGATGGGCGCGGAGGGCGTTGTTAATTCTCAATCCCTGATAGTGGGTTTCGTACAGTTTTCCATAAAGCCTCCACCGATGAGCTTGGAACATTTTCCCACATGACATGAAATGTTGCGTACGCTGTCTATGTACATAGCTTGTATATACCACCTATCATTTACTTGTACCTCCAAGTCTCGGGAACAAGAAGAAACTCAGCGTTGGAAACACAGCATACCGAATGCGCATGTCGCAGCCGTGTAGTGCGGCTCACGAAAGTCCATCGGTCTCTGCCCGTGGTACCGCCCGCATACGCACAGATGTTCTGAAACACATCCCAGCAGGTGATGTAATGGTGTTTGGTGTGGAAGTGTTTACCCTCGCTTCCCTTGGTTGGGTCCTTGCTTGGGCGAAGGGCCGTTATATTGGAACGGCCATTTTTTAATATCTTTTGTGGGTAGATCATGTCCGCTGACGCGTTGCTGTTGATCGGATCTGTCGCGACGTCACCCTAACAATGGTGCAAAAGCCTCGTGTTGTCCCATATTTAGTTTCATATATGTTCACGGACAAGGAAAACATGACTCTTCGGGTCGCACCTTCTTGTTGCGGGCGTCAAGATACTCTTGCAGTTCCCCACCCAGGCCATGGCGAGTCGACTCTTCCCTTCCGCCCTCACCTCCCCAGCTCGCACCGATAGCGCCGGCCCAGTTGAAAGCCTTGGCCGGGGATCCGCCTTTTTCTTTTCCGTTGACCTCCCAAGCTTGGTCGTGCTCGCGGTTGTACTTTTGTCGCCGTTTCTCTTGCTTCTCCCTGGCTTCGTTCACCTCTCGGAGGTGCTTCTTGCACTGGATGGTCAGGTGCGGGCCCAACCCTTTCCACTGCTTATCGTGCTTGCGCTGGACTCTCGCGGCTTGAACCGCGCCGCACAGAGGGTGGAACCTGCCGCGGGTTTGCAGTGACACGACAGCGCGGGAAAATCCCCCAAAAAATTGGATTACTTTTGCCCCGTCCTGCTTTGCATGTACTCCTGTAGACCACCCCATCCAACCTCACCCCCCCTTCTGTCGTGCTCTGTGGCTTCCTCTCCGTTTCACTCATTCGAGGCTGTCGCGTGGTGTAGAGAATTTCGGTCCGCCGCACCTACCTCGCACTGCAACCTTCGTGCTCACAGCATCCGACCACACCGCCTGGGCGGTCGCACTCGTGGCAGTGCCGCTTCTGTTTCGCCCGAGCAAGAGCTCCAACTACGCCCGTCGGGGGTACATAGTTTCCGGCTGCAAACAGGGGGAAAAGTCACATTGGGGGAGAGGGCGAGAACGTCTACGTATCGGGCCCTGGCAATAATTGTGCAATTTGCACCGCCAGAACGGCGCGCTGACACTGTGATCGCTGAGGCTACTCAGGCTCTCCCCGAAAATAACTTCATTTTAGACAGTGGAATATCCTTACGTAAGAATGCCGACTACGATCAACAGTTGTGAAAAAAAAAATGGTGACCAGCTGCGGGAGTTGGCGATTCGAAACTACGAGTTCCACGTCGGGCTTTTCTCCATTGTTCGCTCTTTTCCTCAAGAAGCACCTTCGAGATCAGCTCTTGTGCAGTCAGCACTGGCTAGGCCTGCCAAGTAGACTGGCATAGCGGGAGGGAAAGGCAACAACTGTTGAGACGAACAGACCTTCGTCGAAGTCCGACGGGACTTTTGCATCCTGGACGGCTTTCTTGAAGCACAGGTAGTGCACAAAATTGCCCTCGTGCGTCGGGATCATGGCGTAGGACTTTGCCGGGGTGATGAAATAGGACTTTGCGTCTCGGCCCTTTCGTCGGCAAATCAGGCACCTGTCGTAGGGAGAACAATAGATGACAAGATGGCCACAAGAGACGACAAAAACAAAACGGAAACAGCTTCCTTCTTCCAAAAATAAGCCGTGGTAGTCTGCACTCTCCATACAGAACGTACAACCCCATCGCTACTCCCTGTAGTGTTGGTACAGCAGGGTTCAAATTCTTGTGTTCGTGTAATGTGAGCCCTAAAGCTCTCAAAAAACCAATGGGCACGTGGACTGGACGTCGGCGCGCGAGGTTTGGTTCCCTCGGCGAAAAGCGTACCGGCGCTCCTCACAGGGCACTACGTTGACCTCGCGACAGGCGTTGCACACAAAGCTTCCGTGCTCCCTCCGGACGCTCTTCGACACCACGGGGTAGCAACTCTCGTGAACTGCCGTGTTGCAGTCGTCCCTTTACCAATGCGTTTGTGGTCCATCCATCCATTCCGGTGTAGAGGAGCGCAAGGACGGGGCGCGTTGCAAACTTAGTTTGGAATCCACACAAGCAAATATCCCCTGCCAGCCGGATATGCATAGCAAAACCCAGATCCAGGAGCGCTGGCTGAGGATGGAGACACGTCGTGCCAATAGTATCAGGACACCAGCCTGGCAAAAATACGCAGGGTGCTGGGGCGGACCGGCTACACGATTTGCCATGGTTGTCACCAACGGTTGGGGGGTGGGTAGTCGGTTGGATGTCAGCTACTATCCCAGTACCGGACATACGCTATGACTCACCGCCGGCACACGAGAAAAACTCCCTGCTGCTCGTCCGTGCCCGTACCCAGGCACACCCCGCACTCGCCACTGGTCGGGGCAGGGGAAGGGGCAGGGGCAAGGGCAGGAGCAGGGGCGGAGTCTGCCGGGCGGCGGAAAAAATCATCCCAGTCTTCCATCAAGTCAAAGTTGTCCGCCGCACGTCGCGCCGCCGCTTCCGCCCCCACCGAGGGCGGCGACATCCCCGGTGCCGACACCCGGCTTGGAGAACTTCTGGCAACGCCTGAGTCAACGCCGGCGTCGATCTTCCCGCCCAAAGGACGGTCGGCTCCCGGTGCGACAGGGTCTCGTTCGATGAAGGCATCCTGGTTGAGATTCACCGGGGTCTCTGTTGTCGCTGCGTCAGGTCCAGCGCTCGATTGGTCGTCATCGCTGTCATCGGCGACTGGGACATGGGGGCCGAGCAGCCTCTCTCCCGCACACCAAGCCTGCGCTGCCAGAGACTGGGAGCGTTCTCTGTGAGATGGAGAAGGCGTTCGAGAGCACGAGGAGGGGGTGAAGAACACAGAGGTCTCCCAGAGTAACGTTTCTTGAGGAACGCAGTCGGCCATGAGATCCTGCGTGCAAAAGATGCGATGCTGTATAATGAAAAAAACATGGCACGTATTCAACCCCATCAAAGTGACGGCTAGGGAAAGTGTCACCATGGTGGTCTAGGTATTTGGCGTTTAGAAAATCGAAGCATGTTCATCGGTCCTGACACGCGAGGACCTCTGCTATTGCCGGGCCGACGACGGCGACTTGTCCAAGGCACGACGTTCGGTTGTCTCACTTTGACGCCTCGGTGTTGACGTTGAGAGAGGAAAGGTGCGTACCCTTGAGCACAACGGCCTTCTTCGGCACTTGGGCGAACTCGTCGCCGCTCGATTCGTCCTGTGCCCGACGAAAACGAAGAAAAGGACTGGTGAGAATGTTGAACACGACTAAACAGTCCCCGAACGAACACAAAGGTAAGCCTGTTGAGTCTATGGCATCCGATGTACGTGTTACTCCGTATGAACCAACCTTGACTTGATCGTTGCTTCCTGTATCCAGCTCCTCACAGACGGTTTGCTCTCTTATCATGACAAGACCGCGAGGAATGTTTTTGTCGCAGAGGTGGCAACACTTCTGCACAAGAAGCCAGCCGCTTAGGCACAAGAGCGGCGACGCTGGGGACCATCAGACGCCACAGGAACAGACGGCGCAAAAAAACACTTGCTGCTCCAGGTGAATCGCTTTCACGACAGTGGCTTACAAAGCGGCGTTTGACACAAGTTTTCTAGGCAAAGCACCGGACTTGGTTAACCACGCGACAACCTCGTCCACACAATACACCCATAAAAATCATAATACTCCTGGACAGTGCCAAACCCTATGCCGGTGTAGATACGAGTGATTGCACATGAGAAAAACACAAACCTCCTCAGATTGCGAGTTGGCTGCGTACTCTTCGTCCTCACTCTCCTCCTCGTTGCTGCTCTCGCTATCCGCGGTATACTTTTTCTTGCCAGCCCGGGCGGCGCGACTGATTCGGTGTCGCAAAGTAAGGTAACGGAACATTTACTAGGTCCAGGACGTGTACACCGTAATATATCGTCAGTGAACGTTGAACAGTTCGTGATCTGACCGAGGGCAGGCGGCGCGGGTTCACATGAAACTGGAATGAGTTGCATCCGAAGCTTCGCTATCGATGGTTGCACGCTAACGTGCGCACAGTATCGAAGCACAAACCATGAAAGGGGAGGAAGCGCGGCGCTAACACGTACAGGGGGGTGGTAAGCAAATATTTCAGACTACTGATTGCCTTCCCCACCAATGTCCCGACCGATTTCACTTCCCTCTCCGCCGCCTAACTCACTGTCCAAGCTCTTCCTTCTTCTCCTCCGGGACTGTCAGCCCAATGGTCTTCGTCCAAAAGTCCTCGGCATCCACGTCCACCTGCAGCGCCGCAGCACGGCAAGGAAGATTTCGACGAGATAGGATACATCGCCCGAAGCGTGAAGACGCAATATTCTCTGGTGTTAATTTAATGGACGAGACGAGTTCGAAATGTATGCCTCTCTTGGCTAACCTCTTGCTGTACGCATGCGTGTCTCGATCCTGTCGAGGGAAGTTTCCGATTGTGGGCGGTCCCGGTACTGGCGGTAATTACCGCCGTCCTTGGTTTTACCAGGACAGCCGAAAAACTTGTGGAGACGAGACGCGGGACGATTCCCAAATGTATGCCTCTCTTGGTTAACCTGTTACGTGTCTCGATCCTGGCGAGGGGTGAAACCCAATCAGTGCCTGAACCGAATCACTCAGGCACCAACGTGTACAGGAACAACTTTTTCGAGCGACTGCGGCTCACCCGCGTGTCCCCAGCATCCATGGGGGCGGCGACAAAGCTCGCCTTGCTGAACGAGTTGGATGGGGCTCCGTCCTCAGCACCGCCCTTTGAGTGGTCCACAACCTTGGGGGTGAAGTCCCACAGAACACACGCCAAGCCAGGCAGGTTTCACGATTGCTGGCACGATTGTAGCATCCCTCACTCAACAATCGTAGCGGGAGAGGCTGGTCTTCCCGTTAAGGGTCGCAGAGAGAGACGCGTGTTTCCAACAATGACTTTGCTAGCAGTTTCTTCATCGCTTTGAAGGAGGGTTTGAGTCGATGTTGCTGCAGCACATGTCGCTCGGAGTTCTCGACGCACTTGCTAGCAGAAATGCTTCGATGCTAGGTGTTCCAATGGGTAAAGCGCCTCTTTGCCAGATACGAGGAGGCCCGTCTGCAAAGACAAATTCATGTCCTGCGTGGGACGGCCCTCACGTTTTATCTTGATTTTGATCTTTCGGACGAATACAAAATCCCTCGGGTGTCCGGATTTGATGTAGTCTGTGCAAAGCACTCCTCAGATATGAGAACAATATAATATTTCGAGCCCATCAAATGTCTTGTCCTACATAGCAGAAAACGAACACCAGCATTGGATACCAAACACGTAGAATACACGCGTTGCGTTCGCGATTTGGGACGCGCCCAACAAAGAGGCGTGTCGTACACACCACGGCCCTGGATAGGATGGTCTCAATGTCAGCTTCGCAGAACTTTTTCCTGGCGGCCTCTCCTTCGTCCCCCTCCCGGAATACATCGTACGCCCCGTGCTTGAGCAACATCTCCACCTGGGTCGCGGTGAACCACCCATGAGCATCAACCACCAGAGGCACAAACGACGACGTTCTTGAAAAAAATTGCACACACATGGGATTATCGGCGCCAACTCCGGTTTAAGAAGACGCAGAGTAAACAATACCAGTGACACGGTTTCTCTGCTGTCGTACTCGCACGATTTACACATACATGATCTATCACGTGTACTCGGCGGTACGTTGCGACGACAATAGCCTGGCATGCTCTTTCTCTCTCTCGCAGGCACATCAAACTTGTTCACGTGGGGTCATCTATCCACCAGGCCGCCAGGGTATGCGAATCATTGAACCCACATGCGATGAGTACAACGGGGGGAATGTGGTAACACGGACTCTACAGAAGGGGGCAAAAAACACGGACCTCTTTGGCGGTGGGAGCGATTGACTTCTGCTTTTGCTGCGGTCTCGTGCCAGAGAGCACAGCTTCGTCGAGCCCCAGCTTCCTGCTCGCGGTCTTGAACATGTGCGTCTCGTACGTCTTGGCCACCAGGAGGCGGTATACCTTTCGGCACCGGTGAAAGAAAGGAAGGAATTCGACAGCCATTCAGACACCGACTTGGGTCGGCTTGTTCCGGACACGAACGCATGGGCCCTGTGGACGGACACTGGACTCGTTCGCCAGGTTAGCATACTCTTGTCTTGTCACGTTTGCGACCATTTTTTCTCGGCCCTTTTTACTCTCGGTTTGTTAGATTTTTCGAAGTGTGTACATTTTTTTGGGTAGTTGGCCTGTGACCACGTAAGATACCTAGTCAGTCGGAGCAGCGGGTGTTGAAAGGTACTGAGCAGAGATCCGAACGGTTTCTAAAATGAACACACGCACAACAACTAGTACGTCGCAGCCTGGGCCTGACATACCGCGGCTGCTGGCACCAGATTTGTCTTCCAATTGTATTACCCTGCCTGTTCGCCAGCCCGCCGTAGATCTGCTCTGCAATACTAATGCTTCGGAGACGCTTATTTCCTTCTACGGTTCCTTCTACCTTGACGCTCTTGGTCTGCCCTATCCGATGGCACCGTGCCTGGGCCTGGACGTCGTTCTGTGAAAATCGAAACATTCGCGCAAGCAATAGAGCGCGATTCGAGGGGGAAGAGGGGCGGGAAAATTTGGCAAACAGGTTTCTAAAACTGTTTATCGCAGGGACTGAGAGACGGTGCGAACAGCGCCCTGAAATGTCATTGCAAGTCCCCGCCACACAAAATCAATCACACGATCAACCCAGGGCAATACTTCGAACAGCCAAACCACGAGAGAAGTATCCGGATGGGCATAGTCCGGGGCTATGGGGGAAGGGTCGGGCTAAACCCGGGTACACCACGATGTGTCTCCATAATCTTGTTATTCCGCGACGTGACTTGTCTGGGGAGGTGTGGGGGCTGTACCTATAGTCTTGCATGCCGTAGTCGTTCGACCGTTGACCTCGCATCCCTAAAAGCCGGGAGCCGCCCGTGTCAGCAAACGCCGTACATGTGTAGCCCGCCGAATCGGGTACGCGCCACTCATCGCAAAACAGAGCCAAAGGCCGGTCTTATGGCATGTGACTACCTGTGGGTTCCAGTCGCTGTCGTAGATGATGCAGGTGTCCGCGGCCGTGAGAGTGATACCGACCCCGCCCGCCCTAGTCGAGAGCAGCATCACCAGCATGTCGCTATCGGGGGCCTGGAAGCTGTCAATCTCCTGTGTGTGCGGATATTTAGCACAGAGTGCAAGGGGGAGATGCCGGTTTCGAACTGGGAGATCGGTGAGTGGACTCAACAAAGAGGTTACACCTTTTCCGAAGGGTTGTTGGGAGGCGGAAGCTACAAGAATTTTGCTACAGGCATGATCGGGACACACGCCCTCACAAAAATCTCGACCTGTGGTAAAAATATTCTGAGCTCGCGCTTCTTACAGCCAGTCTAGTCGTGACACTCTAGCCAACAGCTCCACAACAAACGCAGAAACCGATATGTAACTGCACACCTTTTGACGCTGACGACCCTGGATGTCACCGTCGATGCGGCCGTAAGAAATGTCCGAGGCGATCAAGTAGTCCTCCAAGATGTCCAGCATGATCTTGGGTAGGGTAGAAAACGAGCAGGGGCATGGGCAACAGCAGAGGATCGCGACAGCGGTGGCTCAACGTCATCAAAGACCATGGATTCGGGCGGAAAACTGACAATTGTAGGCTTCTGTAGATTTGGCATAGTTCATAAGAGCATCAGAATAAACTGAAGAAAACGAAGTGGTCATCAATGGCAGAGCGCGGCATGGAAAAGGACGGGATCTTGGCCCTACCTTGAACTGGCTGAACAGAAGGACACGGTGCCCTTGCGTCTTGAGCCTCGGCAGAAGCTTGTCCAGGAGAACCAGCTTGCCAGAGTGCTTCACGAGGTGTTCCTGTAGACGAGAAAAATACACGCCTGCAGTCAGACCCCCAAAGGTGCGCCAGACAACTGACAAACTGATGCCACTTCCACGAAAAACACATGTAGCGCCATCAGACCAGCGGCGGACACGAGAACATCCCCAACAACAACATCAGAACGAACAACGTCGGACAACAGTCAAAACTGCGCCGATGATATCACCCCTCACAAGAGACAAAAATATAGTGTCGTTCACCTTGCTGGTCTTGTTTCCCCCCAACTGCTGACTCACGTCGTCCTCAACCCCACTGTTCGTGTTTTCGTGTTTTCCGCAGGAGAGGTATCCCGCGCGGCACGTCAAAGAATGGAAAGACAGAGACGGCGACACACGGCGGGCGCCACAACGGTAAACGCTGAGTATTGCGTCAAGGAAGCTCTACATCGGTGATATTTGATCCATTCCAGACTCTTGTTGTCCGTGAAATTAGAAGACCGGTCCATGGCCTACAGTTGACGTTTATTCGCAACAAGCAACCGACGCGACCACTCCGACAACAAATTGGCAGCCCGCCGACCCAACCGCTCTCACGTGATGAGAAAGGGGTGGTTGCAGCACTTCCTCAGCTGCATGGCGAGGTTCATCAGGCTCGGGGCGTCCTTCGCTTGCTTCTTCCCTTGGAGGAGGAAGGTCGTGTTCCGGTCGTAGATGGCGCGGTAGTACTGCTTCTGGATCTCCGTCAGTTCGACCTGTTCGTCCGCGACGCGCAGTCGAAAAAGTCGTGCAATGAAACTCTAGTGTTTGTCTCTTAGGAGATGTGTGCACCTCGTTGTATTGCGATGCCAATCCCGGCTTGCTTACCCTATTCCTTCCAAGCGCCCGTTTGGAGGTGGACCATTACGCTAGATGAAATCGGGAGGGGGGCAAGCAACGCTCATGGTCTGCACGATATGTCCTCGTTCTGAGCTGACAAACAGCCCCTGGTGCAGGATCGAAAGAGACGAACCGGCATAGGGCAGGCGCACAACTCGCCCGCAAGTTGCAGGTCGGCTCAATGCTGACACCACCGTTGAGGAGCAAATCGGGGATCTTCAATCCAACACGCTCTTCTACGGGAAACACACCCACCTCAATGATGATCTCTTCCTTGGGGGGCACCGCCTTCTCCACGCCCTCCTTCATGCGCCGCAGCAGGTACGGCTTGATCGCCTCTTGGAGCTCGGACACATCCTCCGCTTCCTGCGTCAACCCCAAAACCTCGTAAGTATGGCGCGTGCAAAGGCTTCGAAGAGAACCACAAAGCCTGAACAAGGCAACTCCACACTATGGGAGAGAATATGGCGCACGCATCAAAAGAAACAACCTATACGAAGGGGACAGACGCTACGAACTTCTTCAACTTCGTCCATGCAGCAGACAGGGCATTCCACATCCAAAAACCGGTGGCGATTCTGCACCTGAAGGTCTCCGTACTTCTCCACAAAACCCTGCTGGTCTCTGAACTTAGGTTCATCGACCAGGTTCAGAAGCGTCCAAAGCTCCTGCGGCCAGGTGTGTACAAGGTGGGGGGGAATGACGGTGGATGAGGGGGTTGAGAGGCACTGCGCTTCTTGGATACGAGGGAGGGAGGGCGATGACAGGGTGTAGGGTGCAGAAAGGCAGTAACGCTACTACGGTCGAAAGGTAGACTGCCTGAACAGGCGCAGTATAGCTATTAGTTGGCAAGTGACGAGAGTGAGCTTCGGGGGTAGTGTATCGAAGTCGAACACTGACTCGATCTCCAGGCCCACGGTCACTGCGTGGACTCATGAAAAGTGAAGCCGGCTCAACATCATACAGATACTGCCAGCGAGAATTTATCTCTTTGAAATACATACAATGCTGTTGGCCGGTGATCCCAACGCCGGAAAATAAAACGAGGCATGTAATATGCTTTGCATACATCACCGTACATGATGGTGCAACGAAGACGAACGCTAATGCCAATATACGAGATTGGGTTCGATGACCGCACGGTAATCGCTCCCCCGGGGATATAAAATCAATTGGTCTACCCACGGCACACCAAGGTGCCTACGCGTAGTCAACGGGCGCGCGTTTGTGCTCAAGGGGAATGCACGCAGTCCCAAACGAAACTGCATCCCACCTCTGTGTTGTTCTGCAGCGGAGTTCCAGTCAGCAGCAGGCTGGACTCAAACGTGTAGTCCTTCAAAACCACCTGAGAGTGAAATGCAACGGCGGTGAGAGTGAACGTAATAGCGCATGCACAAGGGAATCAAGGCATAGAACTTGTGCGTGAGACACAGAGGTCACATTCATAGTGATGGGGACTTCTCCGGAGTATTCCATAGTGATGGGGGCTATATCTCCCTGAAAGACTGTCGAGCGGCCGCCATGGATACCGTAACATTTTCAACGCATCAACGAAGCTAGAAACCTCGTGACAAACTATTCTTGACCCACGTTGAGTCTTGAGGCGCTGTTCTTGAGACGATGTGCTTCGTCTACCACCAGGACGTCCCACGCGATCCTGCGCTGGAGCAGGGTCTTCACATCCTTGCGGATGCACAGCTCCGGAGTTGTGATGACCACGGTAGACTTCCAGACGCGCTTCCCCTTGTGGACGAAGTGAAAGAGAGGATATAGTAACGTCTGGTCATGTTGTGAAAATCGTCTTGCCATCCTCATAGAACTACTTCCGCAGGTGCTTTCATACAGGAATGGGACCGCCGATCAATGAATATTAACCAACCAGGACAGGCTCAGAAGACGACCCCAGAAGGAAAAATAAAAAAAGTGGCGCGAGCGGTGGGCGTCGTCTGTGTGATGCCGTCGTTTGACTTCATTACTCCCGAAATTCCGTTCAAGCAGAGTTACACAAACTTGGGGGGATCGACATAAACCCACCCGCTCCCCTCCCGGAGCCGAACAGGCGATGATCAAACCTTTATCCTGGTCTTGTCCTTCTCTGCTCGGCCCTTATCCCCAGCGAACTCCATCTCGTAGCCCTCGAGGATTTCTCGATCCTCCTGTCACGGACAAAGAGTAAGACGGGAGATGACGATGGTGTGTAGATGATAACATGATAACAACATACAAGTGAGTCAGAAATCCGTGAACGCCCAATCGCGCTCGGATACCGCCCATGGGTACTACATACTTAGACTGAGCCCTGTGTTCGAACTTCCTTTGCGCCCCCCGTGTCGCGAGAGCACGATGTCAAGATCGCGCGATCGTGTTGATGTCTCGCTACAATATTGACGCATTTCATCGGTCAATAGCCGATGCCAATAAAAAGACATACACACACTCACACGTGCGGTATTCTTCGTCTGGTACCGTTTCGGTCTTTAATCTGCAAAATAGCTTGTCCCCCCCCCTAGCGCTCCCTCAACCCCCCTCCCCAACTCATGGCTTTTAAAAGCAATTTCCGTTAATAGTCGCACTGAAAATTACAATGTCATTGTTTGGTCGGCTAGCGCGCTAGATGTCAACAATAAAGACTCGTACACACCGGGTCTCCGTGGAACACGACGGCGTTCATGTCGGACCACGTTTGGAATTCCCTCAGCCAGTGCGGCACGGTAGACAATGGAGCGATCACCAAGAATGGCCCCCGCTTGCCGTAGACGTTGTGCAAGATGGACAGAAATGCCACCGTCTGTGTTGCCGTTGTTCACAGATGAGGCACAGGTTTGTTGCAAATGGGCAATATGCAAATGTTAGAAACATTGAAGGAGAGGGAGCTGAGGTTGCGCATTGGTGCTATGAGCAACTCAACTTCGCCCTCACCCATTCCAACCGTAGCGTGTGATAGAGGGAACCCAACGAGGATCCCCTCAGAGGAGAGGGAAAGCCAGGGAAAATCACACACCGCAGAAACGAGCAACGTATCCATTCCAATCACACGTGCTGTAGAAGCAGCGGCAGAAACCCAGACGTTCAGGCACGAGAGTCGTCACCCCGAATAAAGGAAACAAAAACTTCTTCAACGACGTAAGCAAACAATGTACCGTATCTGTTCAACGCACTCAGAGAGTGAAATGACTCTTAAAACCTGGAGCGTGATCTTCACGGAAACCGGCAATCCGGACACTCGGTCAATTCAAAACGTGTATTATTCAAGCTGACAGGAACTATGTGTGCACACGTGATGCTAACCTGGAGGGTCTTGCCCAGCCCCATTTCGTCGGCGAGGATGCTCCCACGGCCTTGCAGCCAGTTGTAAATAATCCAGCGCACCCCCTTTGTATCACGGCATGGCGTGTCGTTCATTGAATTTTCACCATGGCGTGTGCAAAGTATCACGATGCATACAGCAGCCAGAACAAAACTGAAAACATTTATTTGACACGGCATCAGCAGATGTCGGGCATAGATAAGCCCCTTGCACTAGGTGGCCTCACCTCATAGTTACTGTTCGTTCGAGCTGGTCGAACAACCCAATTCCCAGTCGGCAACCAGTGCGCGCGAACGAGCGATAACACCCAAAGCTTCTCTATACAGTATTGGTTCCGGTATAATGCCGGTTGCCCTGTATGCTGCCGGTGAAATCGCATGACACAGATGTCATGTTCGAGCTGTTTCATACTCTCAATAGTGCCGGTCGCCCGCTATAATGCCTGTTCAAGGGGTTGGCACCGGCATTATAGCGGGACCACTACTGCACCCCCTTTCCCCGAATGCGGTGTTGCCTCCTTTCATTACCTCCCTCTGGTAGTCCCTGAGAGACCCTCCGTTCTTGAAGACGGGCGGTTCCTTATCCAGGTCGGGGGCACCATCGGCGACCTTCCGCGTAGCTTTCAGGCTTACGAGGCTCTTCATGTCCTCCCGTCTGTGGTACGCCTCAATCGCCTCCGCGGTTTTCTGCACGCCCCGATCGTCAGCGAAAACGCGTGTGTTGGTGGTAGCCAGAACGGAACTGTGTGTGTATACAGCGGGGGCTGTCACGCCATTGTCTTGGAAATCCCACACTTTCGCAGCAGAAAAGGACGAAGAAGACCCCTTCGTGGGTATTCGAGGCCCTTGCTGAGCTGACGCCAAGCAAGGGGAGCTCTGGGGTCGAACGGCGCGTAGACCTATGTACAACATAGACCCATCCCTTTCCTCCATCACCCACCCACATAGCGGCTTACCAGTCCAGCGTTGTTCAGGTCACTGACAAGCTCGTACGTGCATGAAGAGTAGGAGCTGCCGGCCCACTTGACAAGCAGGCGCGTCTCCTGCCCCTCCACCTTGTCCACGTCCAAGACACGCTCCAGCTGCTCGGAGGGGGGATCCGGAGGGAAAAAGGTGAATTGACGGCGCGTGAACTGGTTGGTACGCGGAGGTGCTTCTCATCGATCCAACCAAGTACGGAGTGCTGTTGTCTTCGTTCGTGTGCCCCGAGACAAGCGTTAGGGACACAACAAAAAGGCTTCGCAAGGCGGATCGTTGGCAACGTGTGTGTCGCAGCCCAACTTCAACTATGCCACCAGGACTGTTACAAATTGATTACACAGGGAGTTACCTATTTTTTCGATCCACGGTTTCCCGGAGAAATGAATTGAGTTTTGTTCCAAGATGAGCGGGGCTGCAGAAATCAGTAGCCCACCTACCGCAACATAAACAACGTTCGCACCTGAACCAGAGAGGGGTCGAAGAACTCTCCTCCCCCACGCTCTGCAGCCAGTTCCCCTTTGAACTCCTTCTGCCGGAACTGTTCGAGCTGCGAAACAAGAGTGGAAAAGACAAGCGGTAAGACATTGCTGAAAATGACATTATTTTTCGTGTCCACACAATATTGTGACTACTTGCAAAGCTCCGATCAACAGAAACGCCAGGTCAAGGGCTTCGTTCTCAGGCACACGTCGGCATCCCTCCCGGCGGTATGTGGACAAAGGGTGACCAAACGGATCACAAACTGATATTTTTTCGGCAGAAGGGCCCGGGTGCCACTGTCCGCCGTAGTCCACGTCGGAGGTAGACTGCGCCCCTGTACTTTATGCAAATTTTCTTTTGAATGCGCATGGTTATGTGTGAAAGACTCGGGGTGTGGATGCCAGAGGCATGATCACAGCACTCCAACCCCAACTCGACTTATTTCCCCGTTGTGTGAAAAGGATGGTGATCTAGAGGGATGCGCACCCAAAACTCAGTAAACGTCCGATCGCAGAGTAGTCAACCGATTCCTCGCCGGCTCGACTTGGCGGCAGTGTCTTGCAGTGGAATTCTGTTGGATCATCTTGTAGATGAACAGGAGAAAAATGAATCCAACTGAACCCAGCATGGCACACGAATGGCTTCAACCACCTATAGGTATTCGGGATCGACAAAAGAGAACAAGTCAGTCGCCTGAGCTGAGAACAACTGGCACAACGCAGAGCTGTTGGACAACGCCATCACAAACCAACCTGCGTGTTGGTTCTGCTCGTCAACTCAACGAGGTCCGTCGAAACTTCCCAAGACACGTGGAGGTAGCTCTTGCCATCCCACTTAACCAGGTACTTCTGTACGGGTGCAGTGGCTTCCTCTTCCTCTTCCTTTTTCCACATCGAGCCGGCCGTGATCTGGAAACAGTGCGAGCAGGAAAATTGTTCGACACGAGAAAACCCTCCCGGCACGAGAAAATCGTATACGCTCATGAAGCAAACATGCAGGATTGCGCCAACTGAATGGCGCAGACACCCGGAGTCTCAATGAGAGAAACACATGGTCGGAGTCAGAAAATTGTCTACAAGCGCAACATTTTGTACGGATATTGGATGAGGAGCCCCACGTGTGCCCCTCCTCTCGAAGTAGCCGGTGCTGCAAAACTTCCACTACCCGTACCTGACCCGTGTTCATGTCCTTGCACATCTCCTTCCACTCGCTCGGCAAGAGCGTCTTGCTCGCAAGAATCGCGGATAGCTTCGTGGGCCGATCACCGCTCTCACCGTCGACGTTTGTAACGCTGCTCTCGTCGATCTCCTCCTCGTCATCGCTCCCTGTACTCGGCGTGTGGTTGGCGCTTATGGGTGTGGCTTTCGCCTTTCCTTTGCCTTTCCCTTTCTGTCGGGTTGTCCGTGTCGAGCTCCGATTGCCCACAACCTTGGTTGTGGGCTTTACCACCCCTTGACGCTTGCGAGGCGCGGCTTTGGACGTTCTTCTGCCCTTTGCCGGCTTCTTCGACGCCTCGAGGAGCGGGCGGGGATTTTCGGTCGCACGTCACGAATTGAGGAATATTGTCATGTTCAACTCCGGAGCTTTACTTAGCTGCAGCTGTTTGCTGCTAAGAAAAAACCGTTGTAGTCCATCAATTAAACGTGTCTAACACGGTGGCAGTGGTTGTGGACCTTTTTCTTTGATTCGAGATATTGTTCAACCTGATCGGATCTCAGGCTCCGGCGATGTCGCCTGGAGCCGGGAAGTCACTTCTAGCGTGCTCTTCTACCTCCGGTGAGGTTAACCTCGGTTGGTCCTCCCTGCCTCACAAAAACCAAGATTTTAAGAAATAGTTGACAAGTTGCATACACCCGTAGTAATCGTATCCTGCCAAAAACCAAGAGGGGTTACGTGGGATTGCTCCAAGTTGTATGGAATGAACCATGTCCGACAGGAGAGTCTCTTCTATCCCTTGAAATGCGACAGTTTCGACAAGACCTACGGTGAAGATCGGCTTGTGTAGGCCACAACAACAGCTGTGCGCCCTTCGAAAATGCACGTCCGCCAAGGCCATACATATTCCTGGGGGGGGGGTACGGTTAGAAACATGTGGAATTGTCTCTATAGCGGGGGGTTACTCAGTTGAATCGGTTGAACAGACCCGACCTCTCCACTCCCAGTAGCCGGTGTTGTTCAACATCCCGTACCTGGCCCGTGTTCATGCCCTTGGACATGTCTTCGCACTCAGCCGGCGAAGAATTCTTGATCGAATTTTTTTTCGATACCTTGGGCGGCCGCTCATCGCTCTCATCGTGATCGTTGGTGTTGCCGATGCTGCTCTCCTCGATTTCCTCTTCGTCGTCACCCCCTGTACTCGGCGTGTGGTCGGCGCTTTTGGGTGTGGCTTTGGCCGTTCCGTTTCCTTTCCCATTCTGTCGGGTCGTACGTGTCGAGGCCCGATTGCCCAAAACCACCGCTCCTTGTCGCTTGCGAGACGTGGCTTTGGACGTTCGCTTGCGCTTGGGGGACTTCTTCGACGCCTCGAAAAGCGGGTCGGGCTGTCCGGTCACACGTCACGAATTGAGGCATTTTCTCATGAATAACTCCTGAGCAAAGCTTCGCTACTGTAGTGCAAGTACTAATCGCGCCATGCATGGAAAGAGGTGGCAGTGAACCATTTCCTTTGATTCGAGATATTGTTCGATCTTATCGGATCTCAGGCTCCGACGTTATCCCTGCGAAGTCACTTCCAGAGTACTCTTCTGCCTCCGGTGAGGCCAAACTCTGTTGGCCCTCCATGCCTAAAAACAAGAGTTTAGGAAATAGTTAACAAATACAATACACCAATAGTATTCGTGTCCTGCAAAAAACCAAGAGGGGCAACGTGGGTTTGTTCCCAAGTTTTTCGGTATGAACCATGGTCGACAGGAGAGTCTATTCTACCCTTTGTTATGCCTGGGTTTCGACAGGTCCTCCGATGAAGATCGGCAATAGATAATCCTGGGAGTGGGGAAGTACGGATGGCAACATGTGGATATTGTGTCTACCGTCGAAGATGATACAATTTGCGTGCAGAGTCGGTTTAACAGACCCGCCCTCTCCACTTCCAGTAGAAGTTGCTGCTCAACATCATGTACCTGGCCCGTGTTCATGTCCTTGGACATGTCTTTGCACTCGGGCGGCGAAACATTCTTGCTCGAAAGAATCTTCGATACCTTGGGCGGGCGCTCCCCGCTCACATCGTCGTCGTTGGTGTTACTGACGCTGCTCTCCTCCCGCTCCTCGCTGTCACCCCCTGTACTCGGCGTGTGGTCGGCGCTTTTGGGTGTTGCTTTCGCGGTTCCTTTTCCTTTCCCTTTCTGTCTTGTCCGGGTCGAGACCCGATTGCCCACAACTGTGGTTGTGGGCTTCACCACTCCTTGTCGCTTGCGAGGGGTGGTTTTGGAAGCTATCTTGCCCTCTGCGGCCTTCTTCGACGCCCCGAGGTCGGGCTGTCCGGTCACACATCAACAGTTGAGGCATTTTCTAACCAAAACTTCGTTACTGTAGGGCTTCCACTAAACGCGTCATACACGGAAAGAGGCGGCAGTGATGGTGGATCTTTCGCTCTGATTTTTGGTCGGCCTGATCGTATCTCGGGCGCCGGAGTTATCGCCGAGAAGTCTCTTCCAGCGGATTTTTCTGCCGGCCTAGCTCTAACAACCCGCCCTTTCCTATTCCCGCTGCCGGGGTTGCTGGAAACGCGTGTCAATATCTTGAATACATCCATAGCACTCATATCCAGCTAAGGGCCTAAGAAAAGTAGACAATTATCACAGCACACCCAAAAATGTAGTTTGAAGCACATGCCAAACAATTTTCGCAGGCTGGGTGGCTCGTTCTCACTACTTAGGCACGATAACGTGCTGCACTACACAGACAGCCTCTCCACATGTACCGAATCACCTTGCTCACTTTCATGATATTGTCAGCCGTCCTTTTGAGCCTTTTGAGCCACCCGACACGCTCCCGACTTCCAGGTGTGGATGCCTCTTGATCCTCTTCCTCTTCCTTCTTCTCTCTCTCCTCCTCTTCCGTAGGCCGCTGCTCCAACTTGGTATGCTCCTCCGACATCCTTGGGTGTGGCTATCTGATCCGAAACTAGAAACTACACGTCTGCGGGAGATAACAAATGGAAACAGAGTGAGATGTGTGCATGGTGTAGGGCTACTAAAATTGCTCGTTGCCTTGTGGAGAGCCATCGTGTAAAGGACATGGAAAAAAATGTTCAGGCAGCAACAGACTCGTTGTTACACAAGCAACGAGGACAAGTTTCCTCATCCTCCCGACACTTCGTCTTTCTTGAGTGACGCTTGTCGGAGGGACCCCCCAGTACCTGGCACAACTGTATTCTGCGGCCTCCGTTGGGCGAGGCGAGCAGATCCTAAGAAGACAAGAGAAATCGTAGTGCAACGGAGCTTCACAAGCAAGCTTACATTCATGGTTGCATCAACACCACCCGTGGGAGCTCAATGACATTTTTGCACTCTTGGTGCAGCGAAAGATGATCACGAGTGATGATATGCCAGTCGGCGAAGCGAACAAGACAATGATCCCACCCGACACGTGGATTTTGGCCAGTGGCGTTGCCATGCGATGCCAGAGAGCCACTCTGTGCTTGAAAAAAAAACGCCATCTGGAAAACGTTCGTCAAAAACGTACATGTGGTACCTATCATACCTGGCGCCACAATTAAAGGGAAAATAGGGTATGCTGACGCAAGCAGCGGGAAAACGTACTTGAGTTGTAGCGTCACGCAGAGAGGGACATCTACGGACAGGTACACTACCAGCAACGGGGGGGGGGGTAGTATAAATGGACAGCGACCCGTTTGAAACCTACTAATAATAAATATGTCTGCTGTCTTCGCCGAATGAGGGCGGCAATTTGTCGAAGCGGAACTCCCAGGTGCCGCACATTGAATCTAAATCGTGGGTGAGACTTATGCTAAGTTAGCTCAAATCTGCAGGACAAGGATCAGAACGGGTTCGTTCTGGATCAGGACGGGTTCTGAATCTTTGAACGCGTGGTGATCGAGACACACATATGCCTATGCATGACTGAGAAGAAGTTGAGTAGAACACGAAGTAGGAGCCCCGCCTTCTATCGCCTGTACGGTCGCTCGTGTTAGGCACAAGCGGTCCACATCATGCGGAACGCACGGCCCGAGATGCGTGTACACATACATACAGACACGTCGGAGAAACCGTATGGTGGTTTATACAGTCTTTTGGTGATGGCGTACTCTCGCTGGAACTTTAGGTATTTATGCGATAGCTGCAAGCGGCGCCTCACGGAACTATGCGCTTCTTCATACAGTCGTCTCCGCTGTAAAGGACATGGCATAAGGGAACTCCCCGAGTTGAAGTCATGTTTTCAGAACTACAGTACAGCAGTAGTGCCCCATGCACACGTAGCAGATGAGACAAGCCCTCCCTGAAATTTCTCGTGCGGGGACGACTCTGCGAGGCTCGCTGTGGCGGCTGTGTCGGCGGGTATGCAAAGAACGCTTCAACTGCCGGGGGCCGCTTGCATAAGTTCAGCCACGCCAAGAATCTGCAAGGGCACAGAGGCTGGGGTCCACTCTCGTCTTGAACAAGTTCGCTCCTGTTCTATCCGTACGCGAAGGGAAGGGCTGGCGAATGACGCGAAACACCGCGTGTACAATATTTCGAGCGTGCGCATTCCGTTCACTCATGAGACTTAAGATAGGTAAGGGTAGAGGGAGGCGCACAGCCATGATTTGCGTTTTTTGGAAGAAGCAACAATACGTTTGATGCGGCCGCAGTCTTGGCTGTATCGTGTTGTGATAGCATACCGCGCAGAGGAATCAGTGGGTTGATGGCGTAGCGTGGATCAGGCTGTGTTCTAGCTCTCAAGCTTCCACCAAAATTGTCTTGATCAAATTTCAGGACATTTCCACGACTTGCCCGCCGCTTTGCATACGTTTTCCTTTGGCGCAGTGGCATCTTTCGACGTAAACAACGCTCCCATTGACCCCGGGGGTCGTGAGGCTCAGACGGTGTCCCCTTTCACCTTGCATGCACTCCCCGCGTTTATGGCACACACAAATAACGTGTGTGCCATTCAAGCGGGGGGCGACTCGCACCAGGTGTACGGTTGATTGCTGCGGTTCCACTCTGTCGGAAATAGCTAGCAGCGCTCACCGAATTGGTGGTCTCCATGTCGGAATACACACCTTGTAACCCTTACCGTAGGTTGATACAACACGCCAACCTATCACGTAGCACCTATCCAACCGACGACGGTGACGACGGTGTATGGGAGACGGTTACGGTTGCTAGGGAATAGGGCTCAAACCGGGATGCAATAACATATGATGAAAAAATTCTGCTTGTGCTTCTGTTCATGTATCAACTATTACAATCGCCAAGTCGTAAGGTGGTTGCTCTGGCGGGGGAAGGGCGACGTCACGGTACTTTGCACACGCGAACACAACGCCCTGTACACAAAACACCGGAAAAAAACCATGCACACATTCTGAGTAGTTGCGTAGTTGGCCTTCGAACTACGTCCACGTCAGTTGAAACGGTACGGATGTTTGAAGGCACTGACAAGAGACCGGACGAGTCCTACTGCTGTAAAGACAGCGACACCCAACAACACACACACAGCAGTAGCATAGGAACATAAACATCACCAGGGCTGCAAGTGTAGTCTCAACGATTTTCCGAATCCAATGGTTGGTGTACTGTTGGTCGCGTGCTGAACGGAACTGCCAACCGGTGATGCGTTTGCGGAGCACATCCTCACTCCAGATGAACAACATCAAATCGTTTCCAGGCCTCACGATAAGGACGAGGACGCCGATAGGCCGCCGAGTCGACCCTTCTACAGTGCTCAACATAAGACTTGGGACTTCGGCTTTGTTATTACGTCTTTTCGACGCGGCTTTTGTTGTCTCCTGCGATATTAGTACATCTTTGCGTGGCAGGACGTACGGAGTTGTACGTATTCGTGCTTGCTCGTGGGGACGGTTTTCTAGTGCCTTTCATTTTGTGTTCGTCCCTTCTTGTGTGAAGAGCCAAAGTGTCGGACAGCACATTCGCAACAAACCGTAACTGAAAAGTAACTGAAACGCGGTCATGTTTCTGTTCGGAGTTCCTTCGGACCAGTGGTCTGACTCTTGGCATCTGGCATTGCTTGGCTGCTTGGTGGCTGTCTCACGAGGCCTCTCTCTGTCTCTCTCTCGCTCATTATGTCTCAACGCGGTGGGACCACCGGTAACGCACGGTCTCAAGCAGTTGTCCATCGAGCTTCCAGCAAGGCTACATCAGACAGGCCTGCGGAGGTTACTTCATCCACCCCGCACAGGAATTCTGTACATTTAGCGTACATAGTACAGAGAGTGTTGAAATTTGGAGTTTGGTGGTACATAGGGTTCTGTATACGGCATCTTTATCATCCTATCGTAAAAAGGTGGCGCACGCCTGCATGTAATCTCGCCACCTTCACACACGAGTACAAGCACAGCATGCAGGGCAGCACTCTACTCAACCGGATACCTGTTGTGCAGTCGTGCCGATAGATGATAACATGATAGATGTTAGATATACTCGCAGCAGTATCTGGTCGTGAGGATCCCAGGGGGATACGTGTTGGGAATTTCGTGTGTTGCAGGGTACCATCGGTGCGGTCACGGGGACCCTTTTGGCGTGGTTGGTGCGATGAAGCTTGCGTGCGTGCTGCGCTCACTTCTTCCTCTCTCTCTCCACCACCACCACCGTCTCTCTCCAATCAAGTTTCCTTCTCCCACTCTCTCTCCAACTCTCTCTCAATCTCTCTCTCTCGGCCTAACACGGCCGACTACCCAGTGCCCCAAGTAACGTCCAGAACGTGCTTGCTGCACCCCGCGTAGTTTACCTTTCACACTAGTGTGATATCACGGTATCTGCGCGCGGGCGTAGCCATCCGGGGGTTGTGCAGTCACGCGCAATCGGTAGACTCCCACAACACCAAACACCATGGAGGACATCGACCTCTCCGCCCTCAGCGGGGAAGAGCTACAACAAAAAGTGGAGGAGATCGTCCAGCAACGAGTGCAAGCCGAACTCGAAGCCAACAGGATCAACGAGGGTGAAGTCACCATTGCCCAACCACCAGCCGGCAACCCAGCCACTCCAACCGGCAACCCAGTCCCACCTACTGGCAACCAACCATCACCCTCCAGCCAGGGTACACCAGCCACATTCAACGACCCCAGCAGCGTCGCACACATCGTGGCGCAAGCGGCCAAGGCGACAGCTGAGGCCATCGCTCAACAACAGGGCTTTGCCCGCTCAGGCACGTTACGTGTCAATCCAGGCTCAGAAATCGAACCTTGGCTTGGTAGTGTAAAGAAGGAGCAGGACTTGTACATTATGTTTGATATTTTTCGTGGTAAGATGATTTCATATTTTCAGGAGGAGGGTGTGCATGATGCGTTGGAACTGGAGGTCGAGGTCAAGGTCGGGAAGAGGGGTGTGAATGTAGGAGACCTTCGGAGACTTTTTGGAAATGAAGTGGTAGACAAGTCTTTCAAACTGTGGAATATCCTCATAAGCAAGGTTATGTATCCCCCGATTCAGAGCTTGATTCTGGCGTGTGAGAGTCCCCAAAAGGGCTGGAAAATAGTGACCGAGTTCTATCAGGAGAAAAAGCAGTCAGAAAAGTCGAGGTTGGAGCAGGACTGGAAGGAGTTGGAGATGAAAGAGTCCGAGAGTCCACAGGATTACATTGCCCGCTCAGAGGCCCTTCGCCTGCGTCTCGCATCTGTAGGCACGATTAAGGATGAAACAGATGCCAACAAAGACATTGCTCGTGGCCTTCCCTCTTCGTTGTATGCCGTGCAAAAAGGAATACTGCTTGCCCATGATGTCCTGACGTTGCGTACCCTTGAGACTGTGGTGAGGGACGCCCACGTGGAGATGGAGCGCGAGAGGAGCAAGGGGGAGAGGCGCGAGGTGGAGCTCGCTCTCGCCGCATCCGGCATGAGCCGGCGCGGCGGGGGCAGTGGGGGGGCATCCTGGGGTCAAGACGGCGGTCAGGCAGCAGCTGGCGGCCAAAATCGTGACGGAGAGAAGAAAAATAATGACGTGTTCAACGACGACCCCGGCGGATTTTGCCGCTACCACCAGTCCGAGCTTCACACCAACGAGCAGTGTCGTCTCCAGCAGCAACTGCGGCGTGCGCGTTCGAGAGAGGGCGCCGAGGAACGTCGCTCGGGCGGCGGTAGCCAGCGAGGGGGTAGACCGCCGCCGGGACCCGGCCGCGGTGGCGGGCGATGGGTGAGGATAGAGCAGCAGCACCACACCGGTCATGGTGGCGGTGGCTGGAGCCAAGCCTCACCCCCCCCGCGACCTCTTCGTGGACGTGGGCCTGGTGGTCGTCTGGGGCGTCACCCGGGGGGTCGTGGGCCCGCGGGACGCCACAGCAGCGACGGGCGTGCCGAGAGAGATCGGGCAGGGAGAGGCCCGGGGCACGCGCGTTCTGGCCACGGAAGAGAGCAGGCGTACGTTGTGTACTACGCCCACGATGATGGTGGCTACTACGAAGATTACGGCGACTACGACGAAGGCTACTCCTACGACGACGGCTACCACGACGCCGGGTACGCCCACTACGCCGGCGGCGGGGACAGCTACAGCTACTCCTCCGGGTACGAAGACAGCCGTTCATCTGACGGCGGGATCCACTACGTCTACTACCCTCCCGCCGGTCAAGATTCATCATCCGAGCAGCCACGTCAGCCCCCCCCCGCGGGCAGCAGCAGCACCGCTTCCTCCTCGTCCTCTGCCCCTTCTCCTGGCGCGCCTCCATCTTCGGGCTACCCTCCACCTCTGCACGGCACAATCGGTGCCCCTAGGCAAGTCTCACCCCGAAGATTTTTTTGGTAGGATAGGAGTGACGATTGGAGTTGAGTCTGCTGCGTCTGCTTCGTCTTTGCTGAGTGTGGAATCTAGTGAGGGGCCGCCTGGTAGCGAGAGATGGGGTAGCTGATTCAGGTGCAAGCAACAGTTTTACCAACAGTAGTCTACACATGTACGATCTGCAGGAGATCCCTGCAAATAGGAAGTATGTCGTCGTAGGTGATGGTCGACTGCTAGAAGTGCAAGCTATCGGTAGCATCAACCTTAGTTTCTTTCAGGAGGATGAGAACGGTGAAAAAACGACGATGTGTGTTAAGCTGACTGACGTGTCTGTAGTAGAGAACCTGAGCTTCAATTTGTTTTCAACGCATGCAGTTTCTCGAAAGCAACAAATCCTGCACGACGAGCGTGGTGCAACCCTCCAAAATGGACTGCTATTTGCTAGGGAGGAAAAAGCGTCTGCAGCATATGCCATGCGCTTACCATACGACCCATCTGCAACTATAGTAGACTCTTCTGCTTTGCCTGCATTCGTGACTGCCCCCGATTCCGCCCCCGCCGTTGGCTCCACGCGTTCCCCTTCCCAAAAAGGGGGCTCCGCGGAATCATTGGTGTCCGTGTTGCGTTTCCCTCCCGCTGGCTCTGCTAGCGTAGTACCTTCGAGTGAGAGTGTCACGCCCGCTGGTCCCACCAGCGTAGTACCTTCGACTGATAGCGTCACGCCCACTGGTCCCACCAGTGTAGTACCTGCGAGTGAGAGCGTCCCGCCCGCCGGCTCTGCCGGCGTAGTACCTTCTTCGGCGTCCGAGTTTGTTTGTGTGGGTACTTTTCCGGGTATGGATCTTGGAGACACGAGTGTGCTCACCGACGAGCAGCTCATGGATGGCTATGATGACACCCCGTATCAAGAGTTTTTCCCCGCGTTTATCCCTGAGACTGATGCTGCGAATGTAGCTGCTGTTTTGGATAGCATTGATGGGGGTGCTGATTTTGACTTCGGTGCGGCCGCGCTTGGCCCTGGTGCGTCCCCGTTTGCTCTTGGTTCGACTGAAAAGTCCGTTGACATCAACCGCTTCCACCGCTCCCTTGCCCACGCTTGCGAGCCCCTTTTGAGAGAAACCGCCCAGCAGAGAGGCATCGTGCTCACCGGCAAGCTGGAACCGTGCACGGACTGCATGAAGGCGAAGGGCAGGCGAGGGTCGGTGCCGCGGGGGCCGGGAGCGCGGGCGTCCAAGTCACTCGGGCGTGTTCACCTGGACTTGTGTGGACCGCTGGTGCCTTCCCTGGGCGGCAACCTCTACCTGTTCGTCGCCGTCGACAGCGCCTCGCGGTGGAACAAGGTCTACGGTCTCCGGCGGAAGTCCGACGCGCTGGCGGCAACGAAAAGGCTGCTGGCGGACGTGGGGCGGTACGACCTCGGGCGCATCGAGTGTTTCCGCGTCGACAACGGCACCGAGTGGACCCGTGGCGACTTCCGGCAATTCTGCGACGACAACGGCATCGGCGTCGAGTTCACCCCGCCCGGCACTCCGAAGTACAACGGCGTCGTCGAGAGCGCCATCTGGCGGATTATGAAGGCCGGCATGGCCGCCCGCCGCAGCGCTGGCCGTGTGTTCAACGTCGACTTCGCCTCCATCCCCGGCCTCGACGAGCGCGGTGACCGTCTTTGGATGGAATCGGCGAAGTGGGCCGCCGACGCTCTTAACCAGTCGGCGACCAAGGCCAACCCCGGGCGGCGCTCGCCGCACGAGATGTTCACCGGCGAGCAAGGGCCGTTCCGCGTGCTGCCGTTCTTCCAGCCCGGCTTCATGCGCGAGGATCGCCGCACCAAGCTCGACGACCAGGCCACCCTCTGCTTCTACCTGAACGGCGGCGACAACCACCCGAGCGGCACCGTCAAGGTCCTCAAGGCGTCCACCGGTCGCGTCGTCTACACCAACAACGTGTCGTGGGTGACGTCGGCGCCAGCCGGCGAGGGGGGTTCCGCTGGTATCACCGCTGCACCGACACCCCCCCCGTTCACGCCGCCGGTCGTCTCGATCAACTTTGGCCCAGCACCGACGCCTTCGACTGCCGCAACGCCACCTGCCGCAACGCCGCCGCCAGCGACCACGCCGCCGTCCGCTCCCACGCCTTCACAGCCGCCCTCTGCCACTTCGCCGCCACCGTCGGCGACCCCCGCCCCTGGCCAGCCGTCTTCTGCCTCTTCGCCGTCACCGTTGGCGACCCTCGATCCAGACCAGCCGCCGCCGCCGGACCCCGCGATGCCCCCGCTTACGGCTCACGCCATGCGGCAGCTTCGCCCGGGTACAAAGGCCGAGGGTATGATAGACCCGCGGCTGCCAAGCCGAACGAGATCGGGCACGAGGCACAGCACAGGACTCATCTCGATGCTAGACAAGAACACTCTGGTGTCGATGCTGGAGGCTCGGAGCGCGGTGGATGAGGAGCGCAGGGAGCTGGGGGGGGCGGAGGCCGGAGAGCCGGGGGGAGCGGGGGCCGGAGAACAGGCGGGAGCACTCGCAGCGGTGGACCCGGGGGCTGGAGGAGCGGGCTTTCCACTCGCATTTGCCACGCTCCTCGCCAACCGGGAAGACATCGACGCCACGCTGCGAGACCAGCGCCCGCCGGAGCAACGCCCTGACCTTCCTCACTGCCAGGCCAGCGACCTTCGTGTCCCCAAGAGCTACAAAGAGGCCATGGCGTCGGAGCACCGGCACCTTTGGAGCGACTCTATGCAAAGGGAGTTTTACGGCTTGTTGGAAGCAGGGACTTTTACTCCGGCGAAGTAGCAACTAGTGGAGAACGCAATTAACGCTAAGTGGGTATTCGATTGGAAGGCAGATGAATTTGGATGGCCCACTAAGGTGAAGTCGAGACTTGTAGCGAGAGGTGATATGCAGAGAGAGTACATTGACTTTGGAGAGCTGTACGCGCCTACCGTTTCTGTTTCGTGTGTTAGGATGTTGGCTGCGTTGGCGTGCGAGTTAAATCTCGACTTGTGTCATTTCGATATTGAGCAAGCTTTTGTGCGCTCGGAGTTGGAGGAAGACGTGTACATGCGTTTGCCACAGGGATGTGGAGCTCTATCTGGAATGATTGTAAAACTAGGCAAGAGTCTGTATGGCTTGAGACAGGCATCTAGGCAGTGGCATGCAATGCTGAAGAGGTGTTTAGTGGCGTTAGGTTTTGAGCAGTGCATGGCCGATGCTTGTGTGTTTCGTTTGATTGAGGATGGATGTGTTGTTTTGATTTTGGTAGTACACGTAGATGACATTTTTGCTGTGGGAGAGAGGGAGAGATGTGATAAGTTTGGCGCCGACCTTAACAAGTCCGTGCCAGTGAAGAACCTGGGAGAGTTGAGATGGTATTCTGGGTGCTTTTACGAGAGGAACAAGGAGACCGGAAGGTTGACGATTTCTCAGCAGACTTTCGCGGACGAGCTAGCAGCAGAATATGGAGTAGTGGGAGGTAAGAGCGTTCCGATGTCTTCGGGGGTGAAGCTTTCTGATTTTGATGCGGATGAGGTGGCGACAGACTTTCCGTTTCGTGAGCTGGTAGGATCGTTGATGTGGCTGGCGACTCAAACTAGGCCAGACATTGCGAATGCTGTAAGGGCAGTAGCTAGGTATTGCGCATCTCCGAAGCTGGTACACTGGAATGCAGCGATGGATATTTTAGGCTATGCGAGGAGGACGAGTCACTTTGGTATTTCGTTTCAGAGGGGTACAGTAGAAGGATTCAGCTTGCAGGGGTACGCTGATGCGGACTTTGCAAGCAAGGCAGCAGACCGTAGGTCGGTATCAGGGGGAATCGTGACGTGTGGAGGAGGCGCTGTGTCTTGGTTTTCCAGAACGCAAAAGTGCGTCACGCTTTCGACGACAGAAGCAGAGTACGTCGCGCTTGGTGACATAGTGAAGGAGATTTTGTTTTTGAGGCAGATTTGGCGTTTCATGTTGCCGCAGGTCGGCATGCCGTGTATCCCCGTCTTCGAGGACAACCAGTGGGCGATTCAACTAGCGCAGAACCCCATCTCAAACTCGAACTCGAAGCACATAGATGTAAGGCACCATTTTCTCAGGGAACTGGTAGAGCGGAAGGAAATTTCGGTGATCCACGTGCCGTCTCCGTACCAGCGTGCAGATTTTCTCACGAAGAGCTTGCCGAAGGACGCTTTCGAGTCTCACCGTGATTTTGCAATGAATTTGGCATGAACATTTTATTGTTTTTCTGATTGGTTGTGTTTTGGTTTTGTTTTGTTTCTCGTTTTGTTTCCCGTTTTCTTTCATTTCTCGCGCCAAGTATTTGTTACGCGCGATGCAGTATTCATGTTCCTTTGAATTGTTTTTCCCTCTTATGTTATTCTGGTCGAGTATTGATGGCATACATTCTTGGAGAGATGTATTTTGGTTGAGATATCGAGTGTTCGCGAAGTTTTCAGTGAATAACTGTTGCGAGCAGGGGGGATGTTAGATATACTCGCAGCAGTATCTGGTCGTGAGGATCCCAGGGGGATACGTGTTGGGAATTTCGTGTGTTGCAGGGTACCATCGGTGCGGTCACGGGGACCCTTTTGGCGTGGTTGGTGCGATGAAGCTTGCGTGCGTGCTGCGCTCACTTCTTCCTCTCTCTCTCCACCACCACCACCGTCTCTCTCCAATCAAGTTTCCTTCTCCCACTCTCTCTCCAACTCTCTCTCAATCTCTCTCTCTCGGCCTAACACGGCCGACTACCCAGTGCCCCAAGTAACGTCCAGAACGTGCTTGCTGCACCCCGCGTAGTTTACCTTTCAATAGACTACTATACAGAAAAAAGTTGCGCCGTCCTGATTTGATGGCGGCCGTTCATCTGCACGAGTAGTGGTAGACTACATCCAGACGAAGCATCCCTTCCTACATGCAGTGGGAATGTACTGCAGATTGTTGCGTTGATTAGAGATGCGCCTCAAGTGTTCGATCACGAATGCTGTTCGTGTTCGTTTTGTGTCTCTCTGTCTGGTTCTGGCGACGGATGGCCGCGTTAATACGAAAATGATTTCTCATCTCTCCGTTCTTGGCCAGGTTCGGAACTCGCACACATCACCTCAGCCTACACACGCAACAAGCCTCCTCCATACAGCTCACCCGAACCAGCTCTCGCTCTTCTATGGATCGGCCCCGTTCCAAAGCGAAGCCGCTCTCTTGCCACCATGTGACCTACATTCGATCAAATTCAAATTTCCGAAAGCAATTTGATGGAGACCCGGCAAAGACCATTTCCTCAAGAAACCCGGGGTTGTACCTTATTCATCCCCGGATACGGAATTCTTCGTGATTACACAAGTGTATGCACAACGTCCTCGTGCGCGTAGTCTATTAGATAGCTGAGCAGCACGAAACATTGCACTTTCTGCCTGTCACAGTAGCACAGCGGGAGCGGGGAGCTGGATGTGAAGGGCGGTCCTTGGTTGGTACTCAGTCTTACATAGGTGGGGCGTCAAATCTTCGTGTATGCTAGCTGCGAGCCCCCCGCTGGTAGTCTCTTGTTAATTTCGCCGCTCCTCTGCTCCTGCCACTAGTCCAACTCTCTAGCTTCCCAGGTACCAGATGCGCCAGCCGCTTGGCCACAGGATAGGGTAAACAGCACACAGAGGGGGAAAGAGACATCAGGCTAACAATGTCAGAGCAACTTCCCCCTCTAGTTTCTCATGATTCCCTCCGCATCATCACGGCCGCAGCACAGGTGAGGAGAGAAGAAGTGGCAAATGTATGTTCCATACCTAACTCCTAACAAGACTACCATAGTTTCCAGGCAGAGCTATGATGAGAAAAAGGATAAAGCACCAACAAGGGATGAAGCAGCTGCAGCAGGAGCCAGACCCGATGCACAGATCCAAAGCATGACTCTCCATAGGTCCTCCCGCCATGTCTGACACCGGGCTTGAAAGTCGACTACATACGCTGTGTTCCATGTGACGGGATATGCCGTGTGGTGACACACTTTCAAGGTTGAAGGGTACGACAGTCAAGCTGACCGTTTGCAGGAGATTGATTTGAGATATGCATTGCACGGGACATACATTCGTAGTAGTCAGTAGGCCAGTACCGCAGTTTTCAAAGCGGCAGAAGCTGCTGTATTTTCTTAATCCCATTTGGGTAACCTTGAAAACGGTCGAGCTGCTCCCTCCCTGCTCGTCCTGCCGTTACTTCTCTCACCAGTTGCTTCAAAGGAGTCCACTTAACCGCGCCACTGCCGTGTGTTTCGCCATCCCGCTTACACACACTCGGGGCCCTCACCACACTGTTATCAATGTGCTCCCATGTTTGTGTGGGGCACAACCTATAGGATGTTTTTATGGTACAGCATCATAGCGTTTTGCAAGAAGAGCCTCAATCAAGATTTGTACCCGCCCGCTCGGAACGCTCGCTCATGGGCCAACTCATCATGCACCATTTTGGCTACTCACGCGGCGGTATTCTGCAACCATGCCTCTCGAGTCCGCTTTCAATGTTTTCCGTCGTGCTGTTGACCGTCTTCGGTTTCAACAAGGAGCATCCGGCTGGGCCATTCGGTTGGGTTGTCCCGGCCGTAGACTCGTAGACTCCCTGATCGAATTTAGAACGAAATCAACCCATTCATTATGGCCCCCAAAATCATCATGAAGTAGACCAACTCCCCCCATGCCCCCCCATGCGAGGACCAAAACATCCTAACAACAACGCACCAAGTGAGACTTCGAGGCCGAAGCAAGCTGCCGCTCATGACCGCCGCTGCCTCCATCACGCTCTAGATGTGTTCCAATAACATGACAGTCTCGTGCGGGGCGACTTCTTGTAGTTGATCTGCCTGCTGCCGTACACCCGCACGCAACAGCAGTCTGCTCTCGACTCCCAACAAATATGACCTCTCAACCCCCAATTCGCGTTGCTTACGAAGCAAACGCATCTAACGCAGCGGGTTAAGGGTTAGGGTTAGCTTCACACGCCCGCAGGTGAGTACGTGGTACCCAACCGTCGACATCTGACCATGCCAAGGGTGTCTCCTCGCAACCTGCCACGCTGATTTCGTTCCGAAAGTGATGGCGAAGTTGACAGGTCGGAGTAGTTTTCAATATAAACCGAATGGCCTAAGCTGGGTTTGCTGTTGCTGCCAAGTACGGCGCAGGGCTCGACAGAGAAACGACGAAAAATATTTCGAGAAACCGGATTATGACCTTGCGCCGCCCAAGGGGTTGCAAACACCGCGGTATATGCCACATTTCTGTAGTCAGCGACAGGGTCCATTTCCCCAGTCACCTCTTCACCGGTTTCAGCTTCGTTTTGTATGACCTGGCCAACCGGACAGCTTTTGGATACAGCACAGCACCAAGCGCATCCATGACGTTTGACCTATGCAGCACACTTCCGACACCAACCACGGACAGCGAACGCCCCAACGAAATCAAGACTCTTGCCCCTCCCGCATCATGCTGATGCTGGCGGCATGGCACTGATCTTCGTGCATGACGTCAAAACACACACACACACACACACACACGCACAGGTGGGGGAGGTGTCTGAGGACGTCCTATCCTTCCTGTCCGCTTCGGCCGAGTACCACCTCCTCGACGTGATCAACGACGCCTCCAACTTTCGCGCTCGCGGAAAGAGGTCCCGCCTCACGGTCGATGACGTTACCGCCTCCCTGGAACTCCGCGGCGCCGAGGTAAAAAAACTGTTCTCGTAACGGTGTTAACAGGACAGGGGTTTAAGCACGATGTTGTGGTGGTGGTGAGGTGGGGAAGGGATTGTTGAGATTGCTGTCTTCACATTGAACGGGGGCGGTTTTATGGATGCATCTCGTCTGGGCTGCGTTGGTGATTGCAGCAGGCAAAGAAGGATGTGCGGGGATGATGCCTAGGTAGGCGGGGGGAGATACTGCGAAGGCACACCGTTTACGGCTGGGCAGGAGATAGTAGACGTCACAACATCGAGGGACCGTGGACACTTTTCCAAATAGTGGAACACCCTTCGAGAGAAAGATGAGGAAGTTGGATGGATGGCCACATGTTTGAGAGTCATGGTGAGTTTGATTATGAAGAGCAAATCGAACAATGTGCTAGCAGAAATAGGACAGGGATATGGTGGGAGCAAGGGTTCGAAATTTAACTTCCGGCGATTGTTGAAGAGTTCTCTGTTAAGGATTGGAACAGTAGTGCTCCATATCTTAAGGTATGATGTTCCCCCTCCCCCGGACTCCCTTCTTTTCTCACGTTTGACAACATGCCCTTTTTTTTGCGGATTTTGATGGATGGATGACGGCTGCTCAGGGATCGCTCGTCTGCTCCGGAGGGGGATCGAAATCGAAGGACAGCGACGATTCAGCAACCGCGGACGGCAAGGTTGACTTGAGGAAGGTGAGGAGATGAGCTTGCGGGGGGGTTGGTTCTGAGGACCTCGAGCAGAGTACACGGGTTCTCGGGTGACGCCTTTGGGCCTTTTTTCGAGCAGGAAGAGAGCGCTGTCTACAGAAGGGGGAAAGCGACAATTTTCAGCACCCGAAGGACGTTCTTTTACGTGATGAACTGAGTGTCTGGGCTGCCCGAGGAGCTGGTGCCTAGTTGCTCTATCGACGCGGGACCGAAAATCGGAGTGTTTTCTTGCTGGAATAGTGGCTATTAGTATCGCTGTTCCCTTCGTTTTCCGTCGTCACCCTTGGCAATGGCTTTGGGTCCCGTCACTTGATGGTCCTGTCGAGGTATGCGCTTGCTCGTGCATGAACATCGACCTGAAGGTTTTTCTCCCGGCAGTCGGCTCGCACTGTTGGTCGCTTTAATGCCGGGGCTGCTGCTGCTACTGCTGCTACTGCTGCTACTGCTGCCGCTGTCATTTTAACGCTGGGGTTGATGTTGCCGGTTCTGCCGTGCATTCCATCCCCCCTGTTGTGGAAACCTTCCGCACAGGTGGCTAATGCGACGCTCCCGGTATGCCCGATTGAGCCCGGTTTCCACATGCACTGGCTCGCCGTAGACGGACAGCAACCTCTGCTCCCTCAGAACCCACTCCCTTCCTCCGGCAGAGGTGCGGCGCAGGAGGTTGCAATGTCGTTCGAACCGAACCGTAAGCAAGACAGCGGTCATAAGTTTTTACCTTGGATCAGATTGAAGACTGGTGTAAGGGGGTGACCATCTACCTCGTGATGTTGATGTTGAAGCACGTTTTTCGGCTGATGGGAGGTGGGGCATGCAAGCTGCAAGCTATGGGGGGCTAGTCAGAATTGCGCTGTGCATGACGATTGGCACAAGACAGTGGGCATGGTTGCAGCGCTGTTTTTGTCCCGCGTTTTACTCCATTGTCGACTTTTCGTAAAAGGTGGTGGCTTGTGGCGCCACTCGATGTATCGCTAGACTCGAATAGCTACGTAGTTCAGACAGACACCATGGGCGACAAAAAGGCCAAAGTAATCCCCCCCCTCAACGCTACTCTGCTGCGTCAAACACACTGCAACTCAAGCAGACAGAGCCCACCACCTCTGTGTACACCCGAACGGAATGCTTCGTCCCTCTGCCCCCCCCCCCCCCCCCCCCCCCCTTTTC